AAGACACCATTACACAATAGCACCATCAACGAACTATATAAATGGGCCATGGCTTCAATAGGCTGTTTAATTACCAGAAGGTATAGTTGGTTATATATCTCATGAACAATTCCCATCAATATCCCATGAAATCACGATTTTTTGTGGAAATATACTAATATATCAGTAATATCCCAAAAATATCAAGGATATATTCCCATGAAATCATAGAATAAATCACCATGGGAATAGTGGCTGAGTTATCACCAGCAATTTTGGGGCAAAAAAAAGGTGATCCCTTCAGGTGCCCTACCTGGCGCGGCTGATGTTCACAGTCTTCTTCCGGGAGGAGCTGCCGGGCGAGAGCTTCCTGGAGTACATGCAGCGGTTTCAGTTGCATCGACATGAGGCATATCGCATCTATAGCCACCTGGAAAGCACCGAACAACGGAGGATTTTTGTTGGTTTGCTGGGGGGATCCATAAATGGTGGTACCCCAAAATGGATAGTTTCTAATGGAAAATCCTATTAAAATGGATGATTTGGGCGTACCCCCATTTTCGGAAACCTCTGAAAATAGGTTCAAATTGCCATAACTGGGGGTATTTGCTATTTTCAGACAACCCCATATGTTTCTTGATGCAACAAAGACAACGTTTTTTTAGAAAGAACTTCAGGAGTGATTTCTTAATGTCTTGCGTTTTCTTGGCTGGTGGTTTCTGCAAGAGTTATTGTTTGAACTCCCAAAAACATGCCGGAAAATTCTATTTTCTTTAAGATTGACTCCCAATTTTCGAGATATCACTTTTTGTTTCAGCTGTATTTTGCTTTCCCATGCTCTGCAAATGGGGATGATAAATGATAAACCCATTTTAGTGAATTAAGCACGGGTTCTCCATCCTTTAAGAATATACAGTAATATGATCAGCAGAGATTGTGAGAGAACCAACAAAAAACTGCATGATTGATAGAACATAGTGGAAGCGATTTATACTGTAGTTTGTCAGTTTAGCTATGGTTTCCATTCTCAAAGAAACCTTGACATTGCCCCATATATTCTGGAGCTCCTGAATGCACATTTTCTTCATACTGTTCCTTTCTTGTTAGTCAGAATAAGTTTCTGCCATACTCTGATTTGATTTTCTTTGTCTGGAAATGGGACATTCGGGTGCCACACAACTTCTTGATGTCGTTGGAATTGTTGCGACCACAAGAACAGGCTTGCATTTGAGCTGGATGCTATCGTGTACATATGAAACTTGGCTGAGCACGGATGGTTGGGGTTTTGGCTCCTGGTCAGGAAAACAGGGAAGGCAGGGTTCGATTGATTGGGAGTGACTCATCAAATTGCACGGGCTTAAGCTATCGACGTGTCGTGTGCAGATCCACACAAGTATGTACTCACAAGAATGCAGTACCTCATACGGGTATGGTATGAGTCAAAAGTACACAATGGACCCACACCATTTTCTTATAGTATTTATATCTAACAAGTTGCACTGTTGCACCGTTCATTTTTGGGGCTTTGATACCCTTGCCCCATACCCATATGGGTATGGATCAATACCTATTAATACCAATTTTTAATGGGATGAACATCCATTTACCAGCTATTTTGGGGTTCACTAGGGACCAGGGTTTTGACCCATCCCCATCTCCAAATTCTTCCATCCAAAATCCAATCCCGGTGCCAGGACCAAGCGAACGCAACCCCGGCGGGGGTGGTATTGGGCTTCATCCGCGCCAGTAATCCCTTCGTGCGGATGTACCAGGCAAGCGGAAACATCCTCAGGCGGCCTGGCATCAGCAATTCAGGTTGTTGATGGAGTACCCTCTGGTAAACTAACATAACTATGGAAAATTACCATTTTTAATGGGAAAATATCCACTATTTCTATGGTCATTTTCCATAGCTACGTTAAATTACCAGAGGGTAATACCCCTTTGACTGGGAATGAGGTAAACTATCCCCCAGAAAGCTTGGTTACTGGGGTTTACTGTTTGGTAAAAATGACAGTAGAAGGGGTTTGAAGTTCCTGAATTGTGGCCTCCACAGCTGGCTTGAAGATGTGGGTCCTGATTAAACGCCAATTGCCAAATTAAACGCCAATTGCTAATATACTGCTAAAGTGCATTGTTTTCTTTGAAAGTATAGCGAAATCGTCAGTTCCTAGTTGATTCGTCGCATGCATTTGCGATTTAGCTGGCTTGAATCGTCAGTTGCTGTTGGTTTTCCTTCACTTACCCTCCGGTAATCAAACATGCTTTGCTGGAAAATACCACATTTAGAGCTGATTTTCCCGTTTAGATACTCATTTAGTTTCGGGATATTTTGGGACTGGTGTGTTTTGCAACAGTAACCAGTGTATTTTCAGACGGATCAGACAGCCCATGGCCATGTTTGATGACACCGAAGGTATCAATCAATATTCCATCACCATTCCATTATCTCCCATTAATATCTCATTAATCTTCCGTGAAAATTCCATCAATATCCCATTTTGTTCGGGGCTAAGTCCTACTTGTCATAGACCAGCTGTGTCAGGATCTATCCCACCATGAAGGCCTTGCAAGACCGCTTGCTGACTGGGAAAGCACCTTGGATCAAGTTATGGCTGCCGTGGTAGCCATAGCACACGCTAGTTGGTTGGGGACCCTCAATCCAGCCCAACCTTCTCAGCACTCAAACTCAGGTATGACTTTTTAGTTCAAGTACTTTGTCCGGATTGATTCAGGATGTATTCAGATTGAGTGAAGAATAGATGGAGTTTCAACCCTTGATATTGCCCCGTCAAGTCTTTGCTCTTCTGGATTCTTTTATAATTCTGTCTGTAATGGGATATATCATGATATAACGATTACCGACCATGACAAAAACCCAATCCAAAAACCATCAAAAACCCAGCCAGGTCCCCAGATCTCACCTTTCTTTACCAGGTGATTCGCGTGAACTCCCCTGTGACCTCCTTCTACGACGAGTCGGCTCGCCGCAGCCGCTGCATCGATGGGACCTGCTACGATGTGGTGCTGGTGGCCACGGATGCGCCGGCCGCGGGATATTTGTTGGGAGGTGAGTGGCAGTGACTCGGCTCAAAATGGGTATGGATCAATACCTATTAATACCATTTTTAGTGGGATGAACATCCATAAATCCCAGCTATTTTGATGTTCACCAGGGGTACAAGGTTTTGACACACTGCCAAATGTTGGAAAAAAAAACATGATGTAATTTTGATGACTTTTTTATTGCCACGTTTTTTTAATTTTACTTGGAAATCAAGATGTGAAGCGAAAAGCTCGGGGTTTGGCCGGTGTGCTTGGAAGCAAAAGACTGGTGGTTTAGTGTGGTGTTTCAAACCTCTCTTTCTGGGCACCCGAAGGGAATTAATGAGGATGTATGTATATATATATATATATGTTTTGAGGAGTTTCAACTTCGGAAGGGATCGTTGTTGGAGATGATAATTACAATTAATTACATATAATTACTGTACCACAACGCAGCGCTTGATGATGTCTATTCATGGGTCATCCCCCAAACACCTCTGAAAACTATGCCATGATATGCCATGGCTTTGTCCCATGGCCCCCAGGATGCTAAAAAAATCCACGGTGTTCGAACGCGGCCGCGTCAGGTCAAGGCTGTCGAAGATCCACTACCAAAAGGGTCGAATCATCGTCCACAAGGACCCAAGGTTGATGCCTGCAAGGAAGGAAGACTGGCGCACCTTCAATATCAGGGAGGATGGGCCAAAGGCAGGGATAAACCCATTGACGGCAGAGGGAATAGGATGGAACAAGGTATGGTACTTGTAAATGATGAGATTTTCTCTGGCGAGCTGAAGCACATTAGCTGATGAGATGTCATTTTGATGTGGATGCAACTCATTTCCACCTGACTGAGTTGCCCTTCATATTCTGGGAACCCGAAAACATTGGTGTTTTCCATGCCACTTTTTGACCTCCATCCAGAGGTCTGTAGCTTCTCAACCCCTTGGGTGGTTCAGGTATCAAATTTCGAGCTGGCCAAATTTTGGTTGGGCACTTTAATACAGACTTATTTTGCCATATGTTTGCCAATTGCTTGCCAAATGATGGTGAAATATGTGCCACCCACCAGGAAAAAACACCGGACAGCAAATTCCACTATGAGTCATATTTTCCCATATTTTGAAATACGGTGGGTGGAAAAAATCCTGCACCACCTTGGATGGTTAAAACCCTATGAATAATGGGATAAATCAGCTATCAACTGGTGCAGGATTTCTTCCATCCACAGTATGTTCCTATATTTTCTCCAGTTTATCTTGCCATGAAGTCTTGAGCCGCCAGCTGGAGCGGCAGGGCACCTGTCAAATCACCGTGTGGCTCAACAAGTTCTGGGGCCGCGAGGATCTGACGGAAGATCTGTTCGAAACCTGGAATCCATCGGAGGAGTGCAAAGCGGAACTGAAGGCCTGAACAAAAAAAAATGGGAGGATGAGGTGATAGGATCAACATGGATCAACCCCCAACAGAATTATATACTGTATCTATATATATATATATGTATATCCATTATTGTGTATATCATAATATCCATATAATATCCATATTATTGCGTATTATATGTGATTGATTGCATGTGAGGCATCTATGCAAGTAGCACATGCACCATATTACTGGTACACATATTACACAGGGTTGCTGCAATCCATTTGATGCTCAGCTCGCACTGCGGATCCCAACGGATCGTCTGAGGTGAAAGATGTGGAATTGGCCCGGGCGACCTATACCAAAGAGATGCACCAATTGTGGTCCTGGATTGAGGAGCAATCTGAGGGGGCGAGGGGCGAGACAAAAGTAAAAATGCTTGTTAAATGTTGTTAATGCAAAACAAAACACCACTTGAAAGAGAAATGAGTGGGATCGGGTTGAAACCGGATATCAGATTGCAGCTTGTAGATTAGGGTACGATAAGTCTGATGATGACAGATGGAGATTTCAGCAGAGTCAAGTGCAATAAAGTCCTTTTGCAACGTGACCAGCAGTAGGAGGGTGTAGTGACCCGCACCCACACATGCAGCAGGAAAAACAAGGAGAGGATGGTTTCTATGTGGCTGGTGCTTATGCGTTGGAGGGTATGAGCCTGTTGGAAGCTCAGGGGTGAGCAGCGGCTGCATGATCTTGCATAGCGACTCAAGACAACAAGAGATCCGAACAAGATTGCTGAAACAAGCTTGGCTCTTCTTCGTCACACAACTGCCGTTTTCTTACTGAACCCCCTGTGGTGATGAACCGGATGAACCCCACAATTTTTGTGGGTAACCCACGTATTTTTTGTTCGGTAAAGCTTGAAGGCTTCTTCGGGATACCTCCAGTTTTTCTTTCAACAACCTTCGACTTGTTCCTCATAAAACCTTGAACTTGCTACCGCGAAAATGCTGGTAGTATATATTCACTATATATATATATCATATGATATCATGTCTATATATATTCTAGGAATATCATGAATCATGAAGATCTGGTGGTCACTTATCCCGGACCGTTCCAAGGTTGGAACAGGCTTGCATCTCAGCGCAGCGTGCCGTGGCCGCCGTGCACCGCGACGCTGAACGTGGCTCCGAGCTGAGCGACGAGCATCCGAGCGGCCAAAGGAAGAAGGACGCAAAAAGCGGGAGGTTTGGATCTAGGTTGTTGCCATTCAAAACCCATGGGTTTAACTGGAAATCCATTCAAAAACCATGGGTTTAACTGGAAATCCTTTCAAACATCATGGGTTTAACTGGAAATCCATTCAAAAACCATGGGTTTAACTGGAAATCCATTCAAAAACCATGGGTTTAACTGGAAATCCTTTCAAAAACCATGGGTTTAACTGGAAATCCATTCAAAAACCATGGGTTTAACTGGAAATCCATTCAAAATCATGGGTTTAACTGGAAATCCATTCAAAAACCATGGGTTTAACTGGAAATCCATTCAAAAACCATGGGTTTAACTGGAAATCCATTCAAAAACCATGGGTTTAACTGGAAATCCATTCAAAAACCATGGGTTTAACTGGAAATCCATTCAAAAACCATGGGTTTAACTGGAAATCCTTTCAAAAACCATGGGTTTAACTGGAAATCCATTCAAAAACCATGGGTTTAACTGGAAATCCATTCAAAAACCATGGGTTTAACTGGAAATCCATTCAAAAACCATGGGTTTAACTGGAAATCCATTCAAAAACCATGGGTTTAACTGGAAATCCATTCAAAAACCAAAAACCATAACTGGAAATCCATTCAAAAACCATGGGGAAATCCATTCAAAAATCATGGGTTTAACTGGAAATCCATTCAAAACCATGGGTTTAACTGGAAATCCTTTCAAAAACCATGGGTTTAACTGGAAATTCTGGAAAATTCAAAAACACTGGAATTCAAAAACCATGGTTTAACTGGAAATCCATCAAAACCATGGGTTTAACTGGAATCCATTCAAAAACCATGGGTTTAACTGGAAATCCATTCAAAAACCATGGGTTTAACTGGAAATCCATTCAAAAACCATGGGTTTAACTGGAAATCCATTCAAAAACCATGGGTTTAACTGGAAATCCATTCAAAAACCATGGGTTTAACTGGAAATCCTTTCAAACATCATGGGTTTAACTGGAAATCCATTCAAAAACCATGGGTTTAACTGGAAATCCATTCAAAAACCATGGGTTTAACTGGAAATCCATTCAAAAACCATGGGTTTAACTGGAAATCCATTCAAAAACCATGGTTTAACTGGAAATCCATTCAAAAACCATGGGTTTAACTGGAAATCCATTCAAAAACCATGGGTTTAACTGGAAATCCTTTCAAAAACCATGATGGGTTTTTAACTGGAAATCCATTCAAAAACCATGGGTTTAACTGGCAATCCTTTCAAACATCATGGGTTTAACTGGAAATCCATTCAAAAACCATGGGTTTAACTGGAAATCTTTTCAAAACCAGGGTTTAACTGGAAATCCATTCAAAAATCATGGGTTTAACTGGAAATCCATTCAAAATCATGGGTTTAACTGGAAATCCATTCAAAAACCATGGGTTTAACTGGAAATCCATTCAAAAACCATGGGTTTAACTGGAAATCCATTCAAAAACCATGGGTTTAACTGGAAATCCATTCAAAAACCATGGGTTTAACTGGAAATCCATTCAAAAACCATGGGTTTAACTGGAAATCCATTCAAAAACCATGGGTTTAACTGGAAATCCATTCAAAAACCATGGGTTTAACTGGAAATCCATTCAAAAACCATGGGTTTAACTGGAAATCCATTCAAAAACCATGGGTTTAACTGGAAATCCTTTCAAAAACCATGGGTTTAACTGGAAATCCTTTCAAACATCATGGGTTTAACTGGAAATCCATTCAAAAACCATGGGTTTAACTGGAAATCCATTCAAAAACCATGGGTTTAACTGGAAATCCATTCAAAAACCATGGGTTTAACTGGAATTCCTTTCAAAAACCATGGGTTTAACTGGAAATCCATTCAAAAACCATGGGTTTAACTGGAAATCCATTCAAAAATCATGGGTTTAACTGGAAATCCATTCAAAAACCATGGGTTTAACTGGAAATCCATTCAAAAACCATGGGTTTAACTGGAAATCCTTTCAAAAACCATGGGTTTAACTGGAAATCCATTCAAAAACCATGGGTTTAACTGGAAATCCATTCAAAAATCATGGGTTTAACTGGAAATCCATTCAAACATCATGGGTTTAACTGGAAATCCATTCAAAAACCATGGGTTTAACTGGAAATCCATTCTAAAACCATGGGTTTAACTGGAAATCCTTTCAAAAACCATGATGGGTTTAACTGGAAATCCATTCAAAAACCATGGGTTTAACTGGAAATCCATTCAAAAACCATGGGTTAACTGGAAATACTTTCAAAAACCATGGGTTTAACTGGAAATCCTTTCAAACATCATGGGTTTAATATGCTTTAAGCCAGTTCAAACATGTGGATTTCGACCAGCAGGATGGGGATTTGACCATCAATTTCAGAGGATAATAGACACAAAACCATAATTTCGATTGAGCCATGGTAAGTAGAGTAATCCCTTCCATCAAAACCCCAAGGGGTCTTGGATTCAATCATTTTGGTGACGGAAAATGATGATGTTAGGGGCATGGGATTCATCAGGGGTCGTCTAAACAGGGTGGGATTGGCCAACTGCTGTGGTAATGGCCACCTGCGGTAACTCCACGTAGAGCTGGTTGAGGGTCAAGAGCCATGCAGGAAAACTGAGCAAATGGTGACAAAGCTTGTGATCCAGTTGCTTCTGTGGGCGGTACTGGAGGACAAAGAGCCTATGATCTCAAGATGGAGGATGCTTCAACCAACATCTGGCGGTCAAACTTGAGACCTGTCTGGAAACCACAATTTTTGATCATGTTCAACTATAATGATATATTACACCACATACATATATATATATATGTACATGCACACTATGTCGTTGGGTACCCAAGTTTGTGTTTTCGCCGTTTGCAGATCCTCCACTTGAGCCCAATCATTTGACAATTTGATGTTTGGGATATCGCTATATCGTTTCGTCAAACTCGTCGAACCCCGCGGCCCTGAAGCGGTTGCGGCAAAAGGTGGCTGCGCGGCGTAGATGGAAGTGTTGTGGGAACCCCAAAATGGGAACCACAATCGCAGTGGACAACCCCCGGCTTTCAGAAATGATATGCGTAGTACTCATACAGAAAAGATATGGCAGATTGGGTCTTCCTGCTGATGAAAAAACATCTCCGAACTGGGGAGAGAAATCAACATACTGGCAGGCGGTTTCCATCTGTAAACTGAGATAACACTGATAGTCGGTGGATTTCTGACCTCAAAGACTGTTTGGTGTTTTCCTTTTTTATACTTTTTTCACAATTCTATCTCCATGTGTCAAATGCTTTTCAGATCCTTGAAATCAGCGTGTCATTGCCCTGGAACAGAGCCAGCCAAATACTGGGTTTCAAAAAAAACAAGTCACATTCCATCTACATGCTGGAAAGCAAAAAAAGGCCACATAGAATCGGTCCCTGAAAAAAGCTCCTGTTGTGGCTGGATGGCCTTTGTGGGATGTCCAACTTTGCTCCAAATAACGGGCGTCACGATATCAGTCAGGTGGTTCTCTTTGGGCCATGAGGGTGCCTTCAGCTTCCTGTGCTCGCCAAGCTTCAGCTGCAGAAAGAGACATGAAAGTTGCAGGAATGCTGGGTCCCTGAAGTCAACACATATCAGCCTCAAACAACAAATCGAACAAATACATGGATTTCCAACTTTCAATGGACATGACCTACCAACTCAACATTGAGGTTTAGAGATTCATCACGACCTGTGAATAGGGAGGGTGAACATCCAGCTATACCAGCTAGTAGGCCATTGGGTTGAACACCCTTGGAATTGGAATGGGAGAGACCCCAGAGATCCCCAGTGCGCAGCAAGTTCTGGTGGGGCCCCCATTGAATCCCCACCCCTTCACAGCATCGTTTGTTTGTTCGCCTTGCGGATGTGGGCCGAGAATGTCGTGGGAATCCTCTCAGAACATCCTCAGATCAACGAAGATGACGAGAAAGTCAAAGGCCGCGGCGATTCACCCGGTTCTTCAAAAAAAGTCGTAGCAACGAGCTGTTGAAAAGGCTGGGACCGTCAATGTGCTAATTTTATCTAATTTTTGGTTCACTTTTCCAAGTTTCGAATTGCATGTGGCGGTCAAATTCTTTTTCCATTGCGTCTGGGGAAGCCTTGGATGACTCGTTGCGTACTTTCATCTGCCATCAATCACCCAATATATGTATATATTATATATATATATGTATTATATATATAGTGTATATACAATGATATTATTATATAACTTTTTCATTATATATATATACACATATCATTACATAGTTATACAATATAATGTATATCTACAGAATACACAATATTATATTATGTTATGTTATATTATTTAAATAGCAACATATATATATATATACATATAATATAATTATACATGCAGGATATCCGGGGATCTGTCGAGAGGCAGGGTGGTGGACGAGGACGCGTTGCTGGAGATTCGGAGATTGTTGGGACAGGCAACGGTGGAGCTGGTGGAGCTGGTGAGGGAAGGGCATGTGGTAAACCCCAGAACACACAGATATGTAATGTGTGTATATCACTATGTGTGAATTGAACATATATATATATATGTATATAATGTATGTATGTATGTATGTATATATATATATATATATACATGAATATATTGTTATGGAGAAAGTCAATCAATTTCCGTGAGCATCCTGGAATCCTGCAAGTTTGGTGGTTTTCATAGATAAGGTCATGTGAGGCCTCATGTAAGATCCCAGTTTTGCTGGGTAAAGTCAGCACATTTGATGGGTAACAGGTGATGACAGGTGAGGAGGCCCAATTTGATCAAGCCCAATTGGGTATTGTTAGTTTATTGATGTTTATTGCATGACATGGATTGAAATGGATTCATCTTTGGCGATGCCAATTGACATCAACTACAAAGTCTAGGTATATAAGATTATATAAGTTGGTTTACATAACTAGGCTCACTGAGGGGATCTAGAACAGGTGGGGCCTTTCTATGATCAGTCCCACACGTGGATAGGAGAAAGGCCTCGCTCTGTCGGATGTGCGGGGGCTCAGGGGGCCGTTGGTTCCATGGGATACCTACGATCTTCTCGGTGATTTTTGGGGTAGACGTAAGAATAGCAACCCCCAACCAGATGGAAAAGTAAAGTTCTACATTTATTTTGGGGTTGCAACAATGATTCTACATATCCTATTTGTTGTAATATGGTATGGTGTAAAGGAACAGTTCTGTGAAGTTTGCCCTCGATCTGACCGGCAACAAGCAAGAAACATCAACCACAACGGATCCAGAACTGGGCCCTGGCCCTCAAAATGGCGCTGAGTCCTTCCTCCGCAAGTGCCTGGTCTATCAGAACGGCTGCGTCCAGCGCGCCTCCGGGACGGCGGAGCGCTTCATCGCCTTCCGCCGGGCGGAGAGGTGGGGAAGATGGGAAAAGGTGGATGGTCAGATGGAGTGTAGATGCATATAATATGCATATACAATGCAATTCAGAGAATTAAACCCACAGTTCATATATTTTCATGTATATATATATATATATTCAAATATAAGTACACATTTTCACATAAAATACAGAATGTCATCAGCTAATAAAACAACACATACTTACATTATATATTTTATATATTTTATCTGCAATTCTTATATTCGTCCTGTTCATGTGTGCAGTTTCAGGATTCCAAGGCTCCAACCATCACCACGGATCACAGAGCTTAACGATTGGTTGATTCGTTGGACGTCCCACATGAAATCCTGATCGGTTCCAAAAGTTGAATGCATGAAGTCATTAATAATATGGTTAATATGGTTATCTACATAGTTGGTTGATAGTCAATCAAAGAAAGATCCATAGTTTATTATAGATGATTTATATTATCATATAGTCATGAATAGTTTCTATAGTTGCTATGGAGGTTTCCAATCCATGGGAGTACCCCCATATGGCCTGATGCAGGTGGCCCTTCAGACTCATGGTGTGGGATGTGGACGTGGCGTTGAGGAGTTGATCACCGGTGGTTCATTGATGATCTAGGGCATTAATGCTAATGTAACCTATCTAGCTTAACCGGTACCCTCTGGTAAACTAACATAGCAATGGAAAATCACAATTTTTAATGGGAAAACTCACTATAAATGGCCATTTTCAATAGCTATGTTAGTTTACCAGAGGGCAGTTGATTAATTATGAACTATATAGTCTATTGTTGATAAATGTTGATCATATATATATATATATCCCCACCAGTTTTGGTTTTTAATTGATTATCATCTAGAGGGTTAGTAAATGTTAGTAGCCTACTTAGGTTATTGGGGATTATCATCACATTTGATAGGGATACCCGTCAACCACTGTGGGATGGGACAGGAGGTCCTCTGATCAGACATAGATATGCAAAGTACCGTATCTAAATCCCAGAAATTGATCGCTATAAATTACATTAAATTACTCAAACAAAATGATGGATTTTCCATGGATTTTCCATATCTACCAGTCTTATCCTTAGACTTCCTTCGCTTTTGGGCCGGAGGACGGGGCTTCATTGGCTCCTCCCCGGTGTCGCTGCCAGCGATGCGTTGCCGGCCGTGTGTTTGGTCTTCAACATGGCGGCTTTGGATCCATCCAGGTGTTCCATCCAGCAGTGTCTGGGCCGTTTTTTTAGCACAGTTGCACCGGGCTGGTAAAACAACCAGCAGAGTTGTTGGGATTTTTTTGCACCATTTATGAGAGGGGTTATAAATGGTTATATAGAAGTGATAAGGATTCATAGAGGTTATAAGCCTATGAAATAGGGATGATCATGGATGATCCCTATTTGTGAGTTATCCCTCAGTGTCGCCAAGGTATTCTGACTGTTGGCTTATCCCCACTGGTGCATTTCCACTTCGAGTGCGTGATCGATTTCTTTTATTCCCACTCCAAAGCAAATTTCGGAATATTAAGGACACAGCCATATCATACTGGTCCTTCAAAGCCAAGGGTATCATCGATTGTTATCTCACCATGTCCGTTGATGATACATCAATGGATCAATCCCCAGTGATCCCCATGAGTAAACCTCAAAGCCAACTCCTCCAAGGTATCAGAAGCTGACTTTGTTTCTGATGGAATGTGCCACGGATGCCCTTGCAGTGCAGCAGCGTGGCGTGGCACTGCTGGCGGATTTCAGGGAGCTGAACGTGGGCCGTTTCCGCCGTGCGCTTGGGGTGGAGGACGCCACATCCTGACGACTATCAACAATAGGGATTTCAGAGAAAAAAAGTGGAGATATTTCATTTCGCCTTGTGAGATGAAGGGCGGTGTCTGCAACGTTGGGGTATGACACCAATATGTGGCCCTTCAATAGGGATAATGACGATTAATTAGTAGATTCAACAAAACCCGTTTGAATCAATGTTATTGAGTTATTTACGTTCAATATGAATGAATCAGATGGATTAGATTTGGTTGGATTAGATGTACAGATACTGTAGATGATGCCAGCTAAAAGTTATATTTATATATATATATGTATATATAATTATATATATATAATTATAATTATATATAATTATATATATATAATTATAATTATATATATAATTATATATATACATATATATATACATACATAATTTTGAATATGCAAAGGTGTGTGTACATATATTTCACCTGATGTATATACGTCATATATGTAGGGTATTTGATAGATGGATTCGCCCGAATCGTTGTTACATTGTTGGTTGATTGACTGATTGACATTTTCTTGTGGTCATAACATCTTGTAAATGCCATCCCGATTTTTATTGGGTACCTTGGGTATTTGCCATCACTGCCAGAATTGTTTTGCGGAAGCAATTGCAGGAGACATATATATATATTATGGTATATATATGGTATATATATAATTGTATTTGTTCGATCTGAGACCCAATTTTGTTCCTTCGAATCCGCAAACCAAAGTGTAATCCTGATGAAGCTGTTCATTTGAGTCCATGAAATCCCATCTCATCCACCCCATAAGGTGATGACATATGGTGATATAACCAACAAATAAACGCCAATTTCTAAAGAATTTTCACAGGAGAATTCAATGATCAACTCCATGAAATATACCCTCTGGTAAACTAACATAGCTATGGAAAATCACAATGTTTAATGGGTAAATCAACTATCCATGGCCATTTTCAATAGCTATGTTAAATTACCAGAGGGTATGAGACTCCTCCTATGACCCCATGGGATCCCCCATGAATCCCCCAAACGGCCCCTTGGCCCCAATGAAATCTCGGCCTGAGCATCACTGAAAATCCTCCTTGAATTGGCACATCCCATTATAATTTTCCAGATCTTCTATTCATATCCCACGAATATCCCAATGAAATATCATGAAATATCGCCAAAAAAATATCCCATTGAGATCTTCCATTGGAATGTACCATTCATGTGCTATTCATATCCCAATGGATCGTCAGGACATCAAGCGCGGCCTGCGCTGCTGGGTGGGCTCCTTCCCCTGCCGGGTGCGGCGGATCTGGCTACTGGGGGCGCCCACGGTGGTGAGGTGCAGCGGTCGGGATCCAGTTGGATTTGGGGGTCTCCATAAATGGGGGTATCCAAAAACGCTTGTTTTTTTTCAGGGAAAATCCCAGCTATAAATGGATGATAACTGGGGGTACTATGGCTTAAAAGCCGCTAGAAATTTGAGTTATAGTTGACCATCAAACTATGGGGACAAGTGGATACAATTGATGAATGATACTTAGTTCATGATTATACACTGTTATACACTATCCTTAATATATTGGGGATTGTCACTGCATCATTCACAATCCATTGTGGGACATATGTTCTTGATCAACCAGTATAGATAAAAGGGCACCAGAGGCTTTTGAACACTGGGTTTCAAAATATTTTAAACATGTCTATATAAACATGTTCGCCCCAACCCGGACGTTGCTCCACACTTTCAATCGTCATGATCATCATCATGATCATCATGATCATCATGATCATCATGATCATGATCATCATCGTCATCGTCATCGTCATCGTCGTCATCATCATCATCATCATCATCATCATCATCTCATTACAATTTGCCCCCCCTCTGAACAATATGTTGACTGGGGTAATAACATCAACTTTATCTTCATGAGGGTTCAAAATTCGCCACCCCCTATGAACAATATGTTGGTTGGGGTAATAACATCAACTTTATCTTCATAAGGACTCATAAGGGAGCAAAATTTGCCACCCCCTCTGAACAATATGTTGATTGGGGTAATAACATCATTTTTATCTTCATAAGGGATCAACATTTGCCACCGCCTCTGAACAATATGTTCATTGGGGTAACAACATCAATTTTTTGTCAGACGCGGCGCAACGTCAGGGTTGCAGCGAACATGTTTAAAACATGGGATTTGGTATAGCTTGTCTTCAACCTCCCAGTTCTACTAGTCGTGTGGCACATTTTGAAGCCTTGCTTGGTCTGGGAAGTCTATCTTTATGGCACATGATATGACGTGATCGCTTTGTTGGGCATACAATTTATCAATCAGGGTTGAATCGTGGTCATCCTGGATCTGTACATGACTGGGCAATGTCTGGGGAAAACGTATGAACATGTCAGTATATTCTTTGCAAATATACCATCCGTGGATGATTTGGGGACTGATGTGTCCCTTGGATGATTTGAGGGGTGAACAGTGCTCAATTTTTGGTAGCTTAACGCCACAGGTAGTGTAAGTTTTGATCCAAACCCAAAGGTGCGGCACCCCCACCGGACCGGCTGGATGAACAGTGATTTGAGCAGGTGATTTTCCATATTTTGCCATTGCCAGGTTTTTTTCCAAAAGAATTACTTTACTTCGTGTGATCCCCACCATGACATTTATACATGTTCTTACTGGCACATCTTCTGGCATTCTATCTGACATATCTTCTGACATTCTGTTTGGCATTCTATCTGACATATCTTCTGACATTCTATTTGGCATTCTATCTGACATATCTTCTGACATTCTATTTGGCATTCTATCTGGCATATCTTCTGGCATTCTATCTGACATATCTTCTGCCATTCTATTTGGCATTCTATCTGGCATATCTTCTGGCATATCTTCTGGCATTCTATCTGACATATCTTCTGACATTCTATTTGGCATTCTATCTGGCATATTTTCTGGCATATCTTCTGGCATTCTATCTGACATATCTTCTGACATTCTATTTGGCATTCTATCTGGCATATCTTCTGGCATATCTTCTGGCATTCTATCTGACATATCTTCTGACATTCTATTTGGCATTCTATCTGGCATATCTTCTGGCATTTCTTCTGGCATTCTATCTGGCAAATCTTCTGGCATTCTATCTGGCATATCTTCTGGCATTCTATCTGACATATCTTCTGACATTCTATTTGGCATTCTATCTGGCATTCTATCTGGCATATATTCTGACATATCTTCTGGCATATCTATCTGGCATATCTTCTGGCATATTTTCTGGCATTCTACCTGGCAAATCTTCTGGCACTCTATCTGACATTTTATCTTCCTACATGAGGTCCGGCAGGGAACACTTGGCGTGGATACTCGCGGTTGAGGTCCGGCAGGAAACACTGGGCGTGGATGGTCGTGGTTGAGGTCGGCAGGGAACACTTGGCGTGGATACTCGCGGTTGAGGTCCGGCAGGAAACACTGGGCGTGGATGGTCGTGGTTGAGGTCCGGCAGGGAACACTGGGCGTGGGTGGTCGTGGTTGAGGTCCGGCAGAGAACACTGTGGATCGCGGGTCGCAGTTGAGCAAGGACGACGAGGACGACGAGGACGACGAGGACGACAAGGACGACAAGGACGACAAGGATGACAAGGAGGACGAGGAGGAGGAGGACGAGGCAGGAGGAGGCGGAGGAGGAGGAGGAGCAGGAGGAGGAGGAGCAGGAGGAGGAGGCAACTGACATAAAATCTAACAACCCTCACCTGGCAGGTGGGGAAAAAACGGAATCCCCAGATTTTCCGACACCCCGTCTCAGATGGCTCATCGCGGCAGTCTCCAACTTTTTATCGGCCAAGGCGTCGTAGCCATCCAACCCAGGATGGACATGAGAAATCGGGATTTGCCAATGGACGACTATCGTTATGTGATATGATGAACACATATATACAATTCTATACATATATAGCAGATTATAGCAGCCCCAAAATAGATAGAAAAGCTGGACACCTAAAACTGATGTTGGGAACATCATCTCTATTACCATTATTACCCTGGAACAACTTTTCTATTTGTTTGGGGCTTACTATGGGTTACTAACTATGTAATACTATGTATGCATACGCAGTATTATATGCTTTGTAATATCATGACAGGACATCAAATGGGTATAGTGCTAATATATTGAACCTCGTTTCAGGATGCTTGAATTGAATGCTAAAACCGTTCAGACATCAGCAGTTTGCCAAGTCCCTTTCTTGTACCACATGTTTGAGCTCCGTCATTATGGCAACGAAGCTTAGGGAGAAACGCACACACACACACACCAAAGGTGATATGATCATTGTGAGAGTTCATGGTGGATCATGGTGGATAATACAACTTGAGCAAGAAGAGATGACATTGACATTGGGGTATTTCAATCTTTTCATTCCATTTAGGGGTATCACCAACATACCAAAAGTGATGCTTCGGGCGGTTTTTTCCCGATGGGTCGTACTGGCAGCTGTGGAAGATACCCCTGAAGTGAGGCAGGATTTGCAATGAGGTGTAGCTGCAGACAATCATGGCATGTGAATTCGGTTTGTTTCATAGCTGTATGACATTTCATATACATTTGATATTTTCGTTTAGGTTCACAATCAACTTATTTCAAAGGTATTTGGTTGTTGCCATGGAAGGAAATGAGCTGATTGGGCTAAGAGTTTCAGTTGTCTCCATGGTTTGAACCCTTCTATAGATCTGGTCGGCTGATTTGTTTAATCCAAAAACAGATAGTAAGCTTATGTATTTTCATTCACCACCACACTTTCTTTTTGAGAAGACAAAAAAGGTTTTGACTCATCCCCTATGCAGATCAGCTCTGAAGATCAGCATCCCGGAGCCAAGACTTGGAAATTGAACTAGTCATAACTAGTAACTAGTCTCAGAACTATAGTCCTCATTCCTACACGCTTCATTATATATATATACAATGTGCTAGGCCCCAGAATGAACCTCCAACTTCGGAGGATTGTGAAAAAATCATCCACTTCTGGTGACCTTGAGGATGGTTTTGGATGGTTCATGGTTTTGTGTTTACCACACTATTAAACTTAATGAGGATTCGCCTACGAATTGAGATACTATTCATCCATCATTGTTGGTTATAATCCTTGCTGTCACTATTAGCCATTATCAACCATTCCTCAACTGTGATGAGCCATGATTCACCCTTCTTTGCTTAACCATCATTAACCATTATTGACCGATATCTATCACAGCACCATCAATATCCTGACCCAAACCGTTGTCGAAAAAGGTGCGCCAGCGAATTCGCATGACGGAGAACGTGAAAGACGTCGCGGAGGACCTGGGCCTCTGTCGCTCGGAGATGGAATTCATTGTACTAAGAAATGGCTATGGATCAATACCTATATACATACCATTTTTAGGGGGATGAACATCCATAAATCCCAGCTATTTTGATGTGAACAGAAGGGGTACAAGGTTTTCACACACTGCCAGATGGACATGGGGAAATGACTAGGACATGTTTAGTAACTCTTTTAGTTGTTTGGGAAAAACGACCAGAACATGGGAAGTTTCGTATGAAATAGGTCGATAACTTGGGGATTTTACCAACAGAAATGGTGCTGGAATTGGGATGTAATGGTGATTATATATCTATATATATCTGGATACATGATGTTGGGACCTCACTGCGACGCCACTGGAATGGTTGATAACAGGAATCATCCCCAGATGGCCTTCCTTCAAGTGGGCCTCGGCCCTCGGCCGGCCGAAGATTGTGGGCCTTCCTTAAGGTCAGTGAATTACTATTGATATCTATTAATTAATATTAATTACATTTAACTACTATAATTTATCCAGACCAATAATTGTGGAGTATTTACCAATCAATAATGGATATTCAAGAATCTACGAACCAATGGGGATATTTTTGTGGATCCTTTGGGGGTATGGGTTGTATAATTCTTCGCAAGCTTCTTGAGGAAAATGCCATCGAGCCCCCTTTTTTTTGGGAGGACACTTTCCAATCTGCTTGTAATGGACCAAATCCACTATCCAAATTCAAGATGGGATGGCAATTTGGGGACCCCCAATCTGTTGTATTCGGCTCTCTCTTGTAGCGGAAATAGGCTCGAACCCCCGGTGCTACTGTGGATGGAAGAAATCCTGCACCAGTTGATAGATGGTTTATCCCACTATTTATAGGGTTTCAACATGTTTCAACCATCCAAGGTGGTGCAGGATTTCTTCCATCAACAGTAGGTTGAACTCACAAAAATCTTGGCAAGACATAGCATATGCAAACCACACGGCATGACCCGAGGCATCAATCTTCCAACGTCTCTAGGCCCGGGATGGCAACCCAGTTGCTGATGAGAGATCCTAGAGCCTGTCGAAGTTTCATCGAAATCCCATGTCCGAGGGAGGCAGTAAATATGATTAATTACTCAACCGGCCAAATAGGATAAGCGTGTAAAGGAAGGGGTTTACAGCTATATTAAGTGGATCCACATCTAGTTTGATGCGGTAGTAAACCAACGTACAACTGGACGGACCTTTTTTTGCACTTTTTGTGTAGGAACACTTGGATAATCCCGTCACAGGACCCACACGTAACCTTCAGCTTCAACACTGGCAGGTGGAGAATCACACTTCGATTGGGATGCTGAGGTACAGAAATATCTTACAGCCAGCAAAGTCTCCTTGTAGGAACAGGTCAAAATTGAGGGATTGAAGGCCGAGACCACAAGTGAGCAATGCCCCAGAATACCAATCGGTAGATCATTATAAAGGTTGTACTACCTAGTTAGAACATGCACCATGTTTTTTTGAAAAATGTACAGTAAAATACTGATAAATACTGTACAATACTGAAGTTTTACATTTCTATAAATGTATAGGGATGATAATAATTGCGACCCGTGAGGTGGGAACACCTTTTTGAACCAGCCAAATGATGGGATGGGGCCCAATGACTCTACCCAATAGTTTTCCCATATCTTTGGGGGTGATAGCTACCAAAAGTTACTAGCTATTTCAATGTGAAAACCAGGGTACTGATCGGGTGAACCGATCCATAGCCAGCTTGGTGTGCTTTCAATCCATTGGAGTGCTACATTAGCATACTCTCTGGCAGTGTAACATGGCTATGACAAACAAGTTCCCCAATTTGTCGATGAATTGCACATCATAACATGTTGAAAGGTTGGTGATTTTCTGTTGCCAAGTTAAAGTTTTCCCATAGAATCTATTTAAGCAAAGGGAATGGACATTGTTCATTGCCATGTTAGCTTTCCGGAGCGTCACTGTACAAATCCAGTGTAGGAAGGAGCATCATTTTAACTGTGACCAAGTGGATGAAGCACTGGAAAGACGTTGGGTTTCCAGACCAACGTTTGATGGTTAGTGTACTTAAGGTGTGTTGGGGATAATGGTCTTTACAGTACCATTGAACCATATGGAGGTTTCCTAAAATGGGGGTACCCCCAAATCATCAATTTTAATAGTATTTTCCGTTATAAACCAACCACTTTGGGGTGCCCCCATCTATGGAAGCCTCCATATTGAATCCATATTGAAGCCTTGGGGATGCATGATGATTCGGGACGGTCAATGTTTGACACACATGTTAAGGTTCAGAAAACGTATCCCCGAAGTGGCCTTCAATCTGATTTGAGATTCTGAATGAACTATACTCGTACTTGTGAAATGGGGATGGTCAACACCCACATAACACCAAACATCGTGTATACCCTCTGGTAACAAAACGATATAAAACGCGACAATGGACCATCCCCTATAAATGGAGGCTTTTGTGGGGAAATCGTCTATAAATTGGCAATTTTCCCTTGCCACGTTTGATTACCGGAGGCTAATCGTCACTCAGAATCCAAGATGAAGGGCAGCAGAGTGAAATGCCCCCTTCCTATATGACACCTTGACAAGTTTCAACCATGGTCTACAAGTATTGGATAGACTTGGATGATGGGAACATGTTCAGAAATCCCCAGGAATCCCCTACAGATGGGAAAAAAGAGGGTTTTCCATGCCAAATTTCACCAGGCGTATGTTTGGACAAAGGCTTTTTTCTTATCTTATATGATGTTAAATGACCAATGAGGCTTTCCTAAAATAGGGCTACCACCATTTCAGGTACCCCCAGTCATCATCCATGGGGTAGCACCATTTCAGGAATCCCCTTTTTGAATCGGATCGGGGCCAAAGTTTTAGCATCTTCTATGTGAGGACATGAAGAATGCTGACGTGGCCATGGGGACAGGAGTATTCTATGGAGAACTTGGCAGAACTGCCAAAGGAAATCTGTTGCAATGGTGAAATTCCTATTGAAAACTGCCCATTTTGGGGGGTTGCATAGTTGCATGTTTGGGTACAACCAAAAATTGGCAAATGTGTTTGACAATGGACTGATAGATAATTCTTTCTAGCGTGTTTCTTTTTTGGTGTAGGGCAGATAGTGGAGACAGCCCCAAACTTTTCATGCCAGCTTTGTGATGCTGCATCCAAGTGTGCCTCGCAGATTTTCAGTAGTCGTCGTGCTTTAGTGCTAGTGGTGGCAAAGCCAGCTGCAGTGCGCTACACGCAGTGTCGTGAAGTCACGTAAAAACTGTGTTTGGTTACGTTCTTCGTTTGTTACTTGGCGGATATGGGACGGGGGGGGTATGCGAAAACAGACACTGACTCATGGACATGCACGTCGCTGCGTTGCTTCTCAAAGCTGTACATAAAATCACTGAAGAGCAGGACATGTATTGAAGTCGGTGTTGAAAGTAATATATATCTATATGATACCATTGGCACGCTATCTAACCTTACCGGTACTTGTCCTTGCTATTCTACCGCAAACACAAAGTGCTATGTACCCTTGTTGAATTTCAGGATGTAAATCCCTACAGCCAAAAGCCTGGTTCCCGCAGGCGAAGCAGCTTTGACCCCCAGGTTGGTGGTTCCAACTATTCTTGTTTTCAACTTTACCTGGAATGATGGTCCCAATTCATGGTTTATTGTTCATTATATATAATATATATGTTCTTTGGGATGGGTTGAAGCCACCAGCAACTGAATGGCATGGCATGACATGGCGATGGAATGCAGAGTACCAAAACAACTCATGGCATTGGACACCTCGCTTCCGCCCATTGAAAAGCCACATCGCTCTCGTTGTTTATCTCCCTGCATCACGCCATGCCGGACGACGCTGCAGCACTTTGGACGAAATTTTTGCATAAATAAGCAGTAGTGAGGGAGATGTTAAGCAACCAAATCAATATAGATGGAACATTGGGGTTTAGATCAACCAAGAAAATCGCGTGATGATGAATATTAGTTACACAATATTGTAGTACACATACTTCTGAAGATCAATGGATTGGTTTGCACTGGAAACATCTACGAAACTATTGGATTCACATCCAGATTCCCTTAAGCCTTAAACAAATTCTTGGAGTGATGAAAAAAGTTGGCAGGTACTCACTCGTACCTGGAAGACGGGAATGTTGACTCCCATCCACCAAAGAACTGGCTATGGCTTCATCAGAGCTAGCAAGCTGGCTATGGCCAAGAGAATTGATGTTTCAGCAGTGCCATCTGACAAGGAGAAAATAGATGGTCATGCCCCAACTTGGAAAATGCAGATTTTCCAAGATGGCTGAGAGTCAACTATGAGGGGAACCACATTACACGATGTCACTATGTTTGGATTTTTTCCTATTCATTTGGATGTGCGTCGAAATCGGGGTACCAAAAAAAAGTTTGGATCTGTTGGGTGTATTCTAAGGTCAGCATGAATATTTTTGGTCCCTTGCCCCTTACCATCCGAGCAACTCACCTATACCTGAGAATTGCCCGTTTTAGATATTAGTTGGAGGGTAAATCCCATTCATCCCTATGACATATCGACATAGTTGATTTCACCATCATGTTATGAGTTAAAATATGTTGAAAAAAAACATTTAATTTATATCCTCATATCCCATAGTTACCATAGTTGAAATACTATCCCCATGGTAAATGTTGACCCCATACCAGCCTATACCCATATTTGAGGACCTGGTCCCCAGCACCTCTCCGCTTTGGGAGATGGTGAGTTCAGGTGAGATTCTTTCGCATCACTGTGCGGGGGCACAGCTGAAAGTCAAGTGGCTGGGGTGGACACAGGCAGGAAGGTGTGTGATTCATGTTACTGGGATAATTGGGAGGATTTAAGGAAAAATCTGCAGCACACCAGGGCAACTGTGAATTTTTCCCCCAGGATTTTCATAGGTTTGCGTGTCAATTTCCTCAAACCAATCCACTGATCACACCTGGATATCGACCCACCATTTTTTGAACATCTCAAAACAACATACTTCTTTGCTGGATATCGATCCAGACATTCTTCAAGTTTGATTTACCCTCTGGTAATTCTAACAGTTTGCTATTGAAAATTGCCATAGAAATAGTGGATTTTCCCATAAAAAAATGGTGATTTTCCCCGGGGGATCCCCCGAAAAATCTCCAAGATGTTGAGCTCACAGAGATAAAAGGCCGGAGAATCTAACCCGGCCTGCTTAATAATTAGGAATGCTGAATGATTTTTGCATATGAATATATATATATATATATATCTGGGCAAATTATAACGACCTCACTGCGACCTCACTGGGAATGATGGTTAGTAAGGGAAATCATCCCCAAATGACCTTATTTCAGGTTAGTGAATTATTATAATTTACCCATATATATATAGATAGACACTGTATACATATTTTCCAGTAAATCCATTCATGGTTCGGATTTTCCCATTTCTAGAAGCCAATTTCTCGAAGCCGGGGATTGACCAACCATGGTCATGATTACCATTGTTTGTAACCCCCAAACAGATACAGAAAAGCTCAAATTTATTAGTATGTTAGACATGTTTGGGTTACACCTTTCTATCCTTAAAAAGAGATGTCCGCCAGAGGAAACGTTTCCTCCCAGCCAAGGTTTTAGGTGCCTCTGACAGTGGAAAGACCAGTTTGATCAATGCCTTTGTGAATTGTCAGGGAGCCCATTTCCGTGTGGGACAGCCTGGGGAGACCGACAGAAGAATTTGGTAGGTGTTCGTATCAAGATAGAAACATGTGTGTGTGTGTGTGAGTGCATACAGATGGACATAAGTACATGAACATGATGATGGTCATCATGATTGTGACGACGACGACGATGACGACGACGACGAGGACGATGATGATCCTTATTACTATGAGGCTGATAATGATGGCTAGTTTGCATCTAAGACACGTACACCCAAATAAGTACTGTATAATATTACAAGAACTGATATGCACGCACACATGAAATATAGACATTGCAGAACATATGTATATATAAAATATACACCATATAAGACATATATATATATATATATGTGGGTATAATATACATAAGATTTAAATATATGTATATATATAATTATATGAATACTATATATATATATATACACAAGGTATACATCAATAAAAATGCCCAATCTTGTAATATGTATATATCTATGGCACATGGTGAGCGAGGCAGCTTCATGTCGCGGTACGTGAGGACGGAAACTGTCCGGGCCCCCTTGGGACGACCCACGGGGATGTTTTTTGATGGTTGGCTTAGTGGGGATAGCATGGGATATCATGGGATATTCAGTGGGATATATGGTGTATACATCTGTATATATGTGGATCTTTATGTTTGGGTAATATTTTTTTGCGTTTAAACGGAGCATTGACCTGGGGTGAACTCTTACATATAGAAATCCAATTGGCTCCCCAAGAATCAAGAAAGGATCATAAATAACGGATTGTCTAAATCTATGTCTTTTTAGCGTAGGGTGTCACTTCCCCATTTCAAGCTGCAAAGATGAGGATTTCACCCATCAATGACGGTTTTTGTGCCCACATCTCCATGTTTGTTGGCTCGAAAAACACGTTTTACATCGACGCAATTGATGCAGGTTGATGTTCGCCGCTGGTTTCCGCCCCACATAAAGTGGCTCAGTAACCTTGTGGCGGACAAACCAATACACAAGCATACCAGTGAGAATTGGATGAGAGAGGACCTAACAATCGTGGACATGTCACCAACATTCACCAACAATACTTGACCTCCTATGCGAACCGATGCTGGACCGGCAAACGATGGAAATCCCCCACTGAAGATGGGAAGGTGAACAACAGATAACAACAGATGTGAACGCATTGATCACAGAGATATCGCCGTGTTTCCATAGTGACCAATCGTGGCTGTACAGGTCTTGTTTTCAGAACTTGCCTTGTGCAAGAACCAAATCTTTCCAGCGCTTGGCAGCGCTCGAGCGGTGTTTCAAAGGCCATGGCAATCAGTCAGGGCTGCGTGCAACAATTGAGCCTTCCTCAGCTGGCTGGCACCTTTCAGCCCACTTTGCAGGCCTGAGTTGGTGATATGATATGTCACTGCCGAAACATGGGATGCATAATACAAGAAATGACCTGGGTTAAAATCATAGATACAAACTTCCCGGTACGAAATCGGTCCAATGCCTTAAGTTTTGACCAGCCATGCGTGACTTTTTTCAGTGAACGGGCAGCACTGTTTATGGCCGGCTTCAAGGATTGAAGATATGAAATGACATGAAACTGTTTGGAATCTGTTTATTTTCTTGACCGAAAGGTGCATTTTGTGGGATCTTATAGGTACTTTTAGTATTTTTGTGAGGATGCTGGATGCTGCTGGCTTTGACATGTGGAATCTCTGGAGCTTCCGGAATCGAGAACTTGATAGAAACTGGAATGACCAGCTATAGATGTGATGACCGGTGAACATCTTTCTCTTGATCAATGGCTGTTAGCTTTGTGCTCGTCACATGTGGGCACAAGCGCAGTAAATCCATCATTGGACCTGAACGGTTTCTGTTGGGTGTCCCGCAACTTTCCAACTCTGGAACATATGGGTTAGGGATCTCTCTTCAACCCATAGAATGTTGATGTTGGCTTCCTTTTTCCCCATCTGTGGTGAAATCATCCAGTTGTTGGTTAAATCCCTTTCCGAATTTGGTTCGTTGATTCCCAACACATATCATATTCCCTTTCCCATGTTGGGTTCCTATATCCCAGTGAAGTACCCCCATTCGATGAATTTCCGTAGGTGGTGGCCTCAGACATCAGCAATTCCAATGGGCAGCTGGTGAGTCTGTCGGATACCTGCCATGTGGCCATTGGCTGCATCAGCCCCGAGCTGATGCAGCCGGTAGAGACTTGACAAGGATGGAGCGTCATCTGTAAACAACAACATGGGCGGAACATGATGTGAAATTGAGATTGAATCCAGAAAATAATGGTTGATTTAACTAGCAAAGATGGGGATTCAACATGACCGGTAAAAATGGAGATAAGCCACCATTCAAGAGTGTTCCTCCAAGCCATGATGGATAGTTTTTATCCGCGGAGAATTGGTCACTTGACATCGTTGTCTACCCACTTACCCTGTTGGGAACAACTCTGTTCAACTGTACTTGTCGGATTTAGAATTTAACCAACTTTCAACCAGAATTATAGAGCATGTTGGGGAATCAACAATATGTTATATAATCTAATTATTTCAAACCCAATATTCACCTGATTTAACCTTATGTTGAATATTCAGCCAATTTTATCCAATATCAAACCAGATGTAGGGTCGGGAGATTTACTATTACTCAATGTTCAATCATAGTGAACTAGATATACCCACGATTCAGCTGTACTTGACCTGATTTCCGGGTTGGAATCCATTACCATGCAGATCATGGGCAGATGGAGAAGAAAGTCCACTGTCCGCAAGCCCTAAATGAATAGATCCGATACACTAAGAGAATACTAAAGAGATTCTGAGGCTGAGGTGTGTCTATTTGTTCAATTATTATTGATGGCAGAGAGATGATATGATTTCTATGACCAATTTCTTGGAGGCATGGCCAACATTCTACTGCTTGGAGGTTTAAAACATGATGGATCAGTTATAGCGGCACCATATACAATATAGAAAGAATTACATGATATATATATATATATACATACATATTACACTTATATACAGTATGCATACATAATCTTATACATGTACATATGCTATATATGTATATTTGTATACATATAAACGATGTTTAACTCTGCTTATCATCATACTTCCACTGGCCAGGTTATCATATTACATCATATTACCTCAGTTTCGATATACATAATGTTGTACATATAAAACTGGTTGGTGGTTTCAAACATTTTTTATTTTCCATAATATATGGGATCATCCTTCCCATTGACTAATATTTTTCAATATGGTTAAAACCACCAACCAGATAACATATAGATATGCTATTTATTTCCATGGCCGAAATCGAGGCATTGTACGACCTGGTGCGCTTGGTGCAGTGGGAAGTGCAGTTGACCCCTGGTGCCTGGTGCCTGGGACTTTAACCAGAAACACAATCGCGTTCTCTCTCTCTCTCTATGATTATATATATATATGTGTACTCATATATATCTATATAGATATACTGTATATTAATATCTACATATACATATATTTATATCTACATATATATATGCTTATATATATACATATGTATGTATGTATACATACATATATATATATGTATATACATATACATATGTATATATAGTATATATATAGTATATATGTATATATGCATATACTCATATATATATATATATATATGTATACTTATATATTTTGTATATATTTTGATTTATATATATATATACTTATATATATGTACACACTCTTATGTATATATTTTAATTAATACTGGTACCATAAACTATGCAGTAACAGTAGGAAAAACAACCCCAAACTCATTTCGATGCGACCGGCTTTCTCCGAGTTGTGCTGATCTCCAAAACCTTTTCTTTCTTGCAGATTCAACCGTTAAAGGCAAACAGATTCTTTGTTGCCGGATAGAGGATAAACCAGATGATATTTATATCCACAAATCAGATGATAAGTATTGACAGTATATAGAGCAACATACTAGCGATACCTTTCCCGTTTCTTCCTTTGTCATCCACAGGATGCTGCAGATCTCGGGCTTGCACAAGGTGGGGCACCACCAGGGCGTCATCGGCAGCCCCACCATGGACGTGCCGCTGGCGGCTGAGGCTGCTAAGGTGCACGGTGGGTTCACGGGAAGGCCATTGGAAAGCCACGGGGTGGATGGATTTATTTCAGTTGAGTGATATTTGACGTTAAGGTTGAGATTGATATTGATGGATTAGTTTTAGATGAATTTTGTTTGGATTGGAGTAGCTTAGATGATATCAGAGTAGATTGGATTGGATAGATAGAAAGAATGATGATCAAACATCTGCATCCAAAGATGGGATGTTTCACTACTAAGCTGTGCTAAAGATAAGGAACCGTCATGAGTATTCCTGGTTGCAACTGGACCTTCAAACTTTACCCAGAACCCAGAACTAGTTATGAATGTCAATATAGTCTGAGATATCTGTGTTTCAGTTGGAACCAACATGAATGAATGGTGATGGGTGTTTGCTAAATGAAATTGTGATTTCCATTATATGGTATATCATAATATAAACATGCGTATCTGATTGGTGGTTTGGAACATTTGGATTATTTTTCCATATATTGGGAAGAATCATCCCAACTGACTTTTACTCCATCATTTTTCAGAGGGGTTGGTCAACCACCAACCAGTCATTACTATTAATCATCATTAACCATCATTAACCATATAATAACCATGGTATTAACCATTATTAACAGTATATTAACCAATATTTTATGGATATGGCTTCACCATGGTAAACGGGTGACCTCGCATGACCTCACCACGACAGGCAAAGAGTACGATGATTCAGAAGAAGGGAACCCACTCGGAAAATACTATATGATTATATATGAGTACATACATATCTATCTATCTATCTATCTATCTATCTATCTATACATATACCATAAATCAGAACACTGTTCGAACCTAATTCAGCCTGAAAAGTACCTGCAAAGCCCGGTCCATGAGAACAACTCATGTCCACCAGTGATGCTGGTGGTTATGCGGGGCCAAGTAGTGGCTCAGATTTAATTGACCTGTCTGTACAATGCCTGAATGGTGAAGGATGTAGGTTGAAGCTCAGTGGTTCTTGTCCTGGCTGGGAAGTATACCGAATGGTTTCAATGCGACTTCCGAAGAAAGGTGGGCAACTCCGCAACTCCTTCTGCATCACCGTAGCTCACCGCTGATGCTGCACAAAGCATTGCAGGAGCAGGGCATTGTGAGCAAGACTGCATCGCTCTCTTGCACTTATGTTCCAACAGATCTCTATGCTGCATGGAGCACTGTCCGATCGATCCGGAAATCGGCATCGGCAGAGCTTGCATTACAGGGAGTGACCGGGATAGCAGGTGCAGCGACCAAAGCGTATTTGGCTATTCTCCCGCAAACCCTTGAACACTTGACATGTGCCCGTTACTTTAACCAGAGCCTCAAAGGAGTGACCCTGCCAAGCAGTCTTCAGAGATTGACGTTTCGAGACATATTTAATCAAAGCCTGGAAGGAATGGCTCTGGCAAGCAGTCTTCAGAGCTTGACATTTGGAGAATGGTTTAACCAGAGCCTGGAAGGAGTCGCTCTGCCAAGCAGTCTTCAGAGCCTGACATTTGGAGAACGGTTCAACCAGAGCCTGGAAGGAGTGACACTGCCAAGCAGTCTTCAGAGCTTGTTATTTGGAGAACGGTTCAACCAGAGCCTGGAAGGAGTGACCCTGCCAAGCAGTCTTCAGAGCTTGTCATTTTGAAAACGGTTTAACCAGAGCCTGGAAGGAGTGACCCTGCCAGGCAGTCTTCGGAGCTTGTCATTTGGCCGTGACTTTAACCACAGCCTGGAAGGAGTGACCCTGCCAAGCAAACTTCAGAGCTTGTCATTTGGCCGTGACTTTAACCAGAGCTTGGAAGGAGTGACCCTGTCAAGCAGTCTTCAGAGCTTGTCATTTGGCCGTGACTTTAACCAGAGCATGGAAGAAGTGACCCTGTCAAGCAGTCTTTGGAGCTTGTCATTTGGCCGTGACTTTAACCAGAGCTTGGAAGGAGTGACCCTGCCAAGCAGTCTTCAGAGCTTGTCATTTGGCCATGACTTTAACCAGAGCTTGGAAGGAGTGACCTTGCCAAGCTCTTTGCAAAGTCTTATGTGTGGTTCGGTCTTAGTCAACAGGGTGTGATTGAGATCTGACGCTGCCCTGAATTGAACAGGAACATTCTAAGCAAAACGCAGCAGACATAATAAGCACATTAGGCATTCTTCCTCCCATGTGTGGGCCCCTTCCTCTCCACTATTTCTATAGATCTCCATGTATCGTCGATGAGATTTCCACTTTTGCTCCTGATCCCCAGTATTTGGGCCCCACGTCGCACATGTTTGTTCGGTATGCAAATGGGCTTTCAGCCATGGAGGGAGGAATAGGCTCCCAGCAACAATGGCATTTCTCGGAGTGCAGCTAAAGTCATTGTTGCGATCCAAAGCACTTCTACGATCCCCCCGACCAATTGACATGACTCTGAGAATCTCCCAGTTCTAGAGGACAGTAGTCTTCCAACCTCCAACTCATGTCAGGGTCATGCGGAGTCTATACCACTTAGTCGCAGGGAGGGTAGATCCCATTAATTATATCCCAATTGTGTTGACATGAATGGTTGATTGCATCCATGTTTCATCCCCATTTTGGTGATTAATTCCCCATATCTATCCATCCATATCTATGTGGTTTTGTCTGAAAATTGCGTACCTGGATGTATTGGTTAATCACTGTAAAGAATTACTATTTTGAGGTATCACCCATTCAGACACAACTGCGTTCAGGCGCCTGCTCCCTGCGCTGGTCTGCGCCAAGAACTCCAGGACTTTGCCTTGACGCAACCGGGAGCGGAGCTGGGCCAGATGGGCCAGATGGGAGCAGTGCCGACGCCCATGCGCAAATTGGAGAGGGCTGAGAACCTCTACGGCAGGACGCGTCAATGATTCAAGAACAATGGGTTGATGGGTACATGCAGTTTTTTTTTCTGATATACTAAGACCCAGATTGGATTCCAATTTGCTAATTGAAGCGGTCTTTGATATTCTTTGGATATGAACGATTATGACTATGACCCAGTGATTTGGAACAAAGTTTGTTCATCTGCAGTTTTTGTTCCACATTGGCTACCCAGGTCCCCAAAATACGATTTTTTGCCGACACCATGTTTGTTGCAGGAGGTTTGGAGAGGAGACCTACCATGTTTCAGTCTCCCAATGTGCTCCAAATCAGCCCGGGCTCATGGAGGTGGCAGCCCCTTTGCCGGCCACCCACGCCATGGACCCAGCCTCTCCTGCGCGGCCGATGGTGGCAAGTGCCGCGCTGCCACACAGCGCGGTGGCCCCTGCGGCTACGCCGATGCAGGGCCTGCCGGCTGCCACGGTGAATGCGCGGCCGGGCCCAGGGCAGAGTGGAGCAGCTTCTACTCAGCCGAACCAAGCTGGTCAAGGGTGCCTGGGTGTTGAATTTGGATGTTTTGGATCCCAAAGTTTTGGAAGTGTTTGTTTTATGATGTCTTATGTTTATGCATGTTCTGTGTGGTTTTGATACCAACAATCATGATGCATTATGCATTTATACGGATTTGTTCATTTTTTAATGATATACTATGTGCCTCAAAAATGTTGCAAACAACTTTATCATGACATTTTTTGTCGCTGCCGTTGGCGCACTAAATGCCAGGAACCTCTTGACAGTGGACGCCATCGCAGGCTACAGCGGAGACAACTGGAGGCTCATTGCCCGGGTGACGCTGAAGTCAGAGAAACGCAACTGGAAGAACACCGAAAAAGAAGGTGCGCTGGCAGGTCTTGTCATGGCCCTCAACTTTGGGGGGAATGGATGGGAATGGGGGAATTGAATGGAATTGATCCAGCCAAAATGGGGAGCAACATCTTAAGACAAGATATAGAGTATCTCCTGACTGACATTCCCCGCCGGCAGGGACGCCACCAGCATGGTAAGTGGACACTGCACTGCTGGCATTGTGGTAGGCAACTCAAGTTTGGGGTTGCTAATGGCTTGAGCGACACAACAAGGTATGAACCAAAACTTTGAAGAGGCTCCCCAAAGATTACGTACCCTCCGGATACAATAATGATAATAATAATACATACGTATGATATATATTATATTATATATTACGTACATTATAATATATGTTATATTGTATATATTATATTATATATTATATTATATATTATATAATATATTATATTATATATTATATTATATATTATATTATATATTATATTATATATTATATTATATATCATATTATATATTATATTATATATTATATTATATATTATATTATATATTATATTATATATTATATTATATATTATATTATATATTATATTATATATTACATTATATAATTATATTATATTATATTTTATATTATATATTATATTATGTATTATATTATATATTATATATTATATTATATATTATATATTATATTATATATTATATATTATATCATATATATTATATTACATTATATTATATATTATATTACAGTATATATATCATATTATATATTATATATATTATTATATTATATTATATTATATTTTATTATATTATATTATATTATATGATATTATATTATATTATATGATATTATATTATATTATATATATTATATATTATATATATTATATTATATATATTATATTATATATATTATATTATAGATATTATATTATATATACATATATTATATTATATTATATATATATATTATATTAAATATATTATATTAAATATATTATATATTATATATATAGTATATATTACATATATATATATTGTATAAATATATCATATATTATATACATAGTATATTATATATATTATGTATATATATATATATCTTCTATAAACATATACTAAAATACATACACATATAATTATGTAATTACAACATAGCGGACATAGCGGAGCTATAGAAAATGGATGGTCCCATGGTTCATTTATAGATGATTTAGCAATTTTTTCAATGGTGATTTCCGCAACCAACCCATTGATGTAGGGACCATCTTCAATGTGGAACTGGTGGATGAGAACGGGGTGGAAACCCGGGGCGTCTTCTTCAACAAGGAGGTCTGGCTGGTTAGATCCTGGTCAGGGGCCATCATTTTTCCACTTGGAGGATCATCATGGATCCCACTTCATAACTGGTTAGAAAGTGGGCTTGGAGCCCACTAAAATGATATATAAATGGGATCGGATGATCGGGATAAGCCTAGGGGACTTGCTACAACAAGGTTTGGGGGAAACCCCATTTTGGGACCACTTCATTGGTGTGGCCAGGTGCTGCACGGAGTTGGGAAACCTGACACTGATCCCCACCCCCCAAAATGGTTTGGAAGTTGCTTTTCCTGATGGTAATCACACTGTTTAGGTGGCCATACTTGGCATCCAACGCTGAAGACTGAGGGACATGTCTTTTTGTTGTGGGTTCATGATGGTTCTCTTCCACATTTCGCAGTGCCTAAGCGCAGAATGTGGAGTTTTCTGAGTATTTACATTGATTTACATTGTATATTTGCTGTACTGGCTCTCTCTCTCTCTCTCTAAAAAAAAACATCAACGACTTGGGTTTTTGCTGTGTCACTCCAGTGAACCGATTGTGTTTCACACATCGCAGGCAGACAAGTTCCATCCGATCCTTCAGAAAGGACTGGGCAAAGGGAACGGTTCCCATGCGATGCGAATCATCCATGGTCGTTGCTGACATGTTGGAAATAGCTGGATTAGATGGCTTGGGTGCCTGCCAGGATGTTCCCCCAGAATTCGGATCACTGTCCATCCATCCATCCTCAGACAGGAAAGCTGTACAGCTTCTACGGAGGGCGCAAAAAGAAAGGCAATACTCGCTGGTGACTTGGTCCAGCTCTCCGTCCTGGCGGGTGTTTTGAAACGGGTGGATATTTTGGGGAGGGGCGCAGTTGAAAACCATTTCAAACTAAGAAAGCCTGAGAATTCTCAAAAGTCCCAGTTCAAACCCATGGCTTCGGGGAGATGGGGCTCAGTCAGCAACGACCCAGAAAGATGTGGATATACATGGATATACCGTATCATGATATATCTGTTAATTATTGTTCTATATCATAATGATGGTAATTTCATAATAACGTGCCATTAATTATACTAATTATATCATTTATGTTTCCAGTTATGTATTTATTCAAATTCCCAGGAATGATACATGGAATTACCCACAATATCAACATGTGGAACATGACCATTTGCAATGGGTACATCATCGAACTAAATGGGCTGTTTTCCATAGCGATGTTGTTTCGAACAGAAGGGTGCTATACTCATTCGTAAATGGTAATTTCATGGTAATATATGATGGCAACTGTAATATGATAAATATATGATAAATATATGAATGGTACTATTTCTAATGATCATTTAATGAGTTGCATGGCATTGTTTTTTTTTTGCGAAATTGCTATTTACTGTTACCAATTCACCGTGGTTTCTTCCCCAATCCAACGGCCTGGCAATTTTTGAGGTCAAGCGGACCTGGAATCAACAGGTGTAAATCCACGTAATCAATGGTCCATGGCCCATGTTTCATCCCTAATGTGTAGTGTATATATATAATATATATATATATATGTGTGTGTATATATATATATATTATACATACATATATGCATGCATGCATGCATCCATCCATGCATACATACATTACATTACATTACATTACATTTACATTACATTACATTACATTTCATTACATTACATTACATAAATACATTACATAAATACATTACATACATTACATACGTACATTACATACATACAGTACATACATACATTACATACATGCATGCATGCATGCATACACTACATTACATTATCATTATATTACATTACAATACATTACATTACATTACAGTACAGTGCAGTGCAGTGCAGTACAGTACAGTACATATATATATATATACATAATATATATATATACACACATATGTACATATGTTCCCATTTGATTGGTTGACAGGTTGTCATTTCACGGCAGCACACTGCCAGTTCAGGAGAGCTCTGAGCTCTTGTTTGCCATAGTTTCTGGACTTCCATTCTTTCCAGTCCAAAGGATTTCAATGTCCAAAATATACATAAATATGCTGGATTCATTGGGAAAATCCATGGAAGACCTACATGAAATCAGGCTTCTTATTCCAAATCGATTGGGAGATTTTGACCCAACCCATTTCGAGGGCGTTCCCTTCATCGAGGTGTCCCCATAAGATCGAACTGACCTTCGACAGCCGCGCCAACATCCAAGAACTGCCGGAGGATGGGAGCTATCCACGCTGTCCACTGCCGCACTTCGAAGTGAAGCCACTGAGTGCCATCGAAGAAAGCGAGGACCATGGGGAGGGTTTTTTTTGGGGGACTCGTTGAGCCGGTTGAGATATTTTTTTGGGGTCCCAGAAAATATATCTATCATATCCCATATCCAGGAAACTTAATTATATATATACATATTTATATATATATAAATCTTAAGAGGGAAATTGATGATAAACCATGGAACTTTGGGGTGGGCATTGCATTTTTGGAGCATTTTTGGCTAACCATCTACACCCCATGGCTTGTGAGGAGAACGCGTTGATCACTGTGGCAGGGATTGTGATTAACTGCGAGATGCCCACATCGGTGGCGTGTCGAAACAACACGCAGAGAAATCGCCCCTTGGCACCATGGGATTCTGGGCATTGCACACTGTACGAGTCACCTTCAGAATGGGAGGTAGCAAAATGACCACGGGAAATGAATGGAAATGGTTTTTGTATCTCGAATGAATTCACAAGAACTGCTAGTCTTCACATGGTATTCCATTTCCATCCATGCCCAATCTCAACCCCAGATTGATGACAACTCCTGGCTTGTTTCATTGGGGGGAATCAATTAACATAAAAATCATAGCTGCAAATTACCACATTTTGGGGTGAACATAGGCCTAGCTGAGGATGCAGTTTACAATTCGGGATTGACATTGAATACAGTGAATACAGTTTCTGTTGGCTTTCACGTCAATTCACCAAATAGAAAGGTTGTGCCACCACGAGGTCTGATACTTGCATCCTTCTCATTCAGGGTCAAATTACGTGTCTTCGAGCCGTTCATTGTTGACCCCGTTGCAGAAAAGGGCGCTTTTTGACCCTCGAATAACTCCAGTAGACTAACATAGTATGGAAAATCCATGAAAATCCACCATGAATGTAGATCCTTTCCTTGGGAAACAACCATTAATCATTAGCCATGATCCACTATCCCCATTTTTTTGTTACATCATGTTAAATCGGCGTAAGAACCCTATTCTTTTCTCAGTTGACTCCCTATTTTGCAGTTAGCTTTACCACATTTAACAACCATACTGGTATAGGTAAACAACTCAACTTTCCCTCCAGAGGTCAGAACTTCCAGCTCTTGGACGATTCCAACGTCACCTGCCGGGTCACTTTGTGGGGTGAGCAGTGCATCGAAGATCTGCAATGCGGCGTGGTGGTGCCTGGGTTTATGAATGTTCAATGATAATGGAAAAACTTAAGATATTTATAGATATTTCAAGGGCAGTTATCAGTTGTTTGATGGACAATTACAAGTGCTGATGGGAAATTGTAATAATTACGGGGAAGTCATTTATGAGTTGAAACCACCAGTTTTGATGGAAAAAATGGATCAAAATTGGCGATGCTTTTCCTTATTGATGAATTCACAAGATGGTTATGACCTGCCTTTGGTTACATAAATAATTAGTATGATTTAAATATATATTATATATGCATATATATAATATATGTACACACACATATGATATGTTGATGATATCCTGATTGTTGGCAGTTGGTAGCCCAGCGTTGAATTTCGCCCTCTCGTCGTCTAAGCCAGTTGAATCAGCAGGTGTTGTTGAAGAACGCCCGGGTGTCGGGGTACAACAACAGCAAATCCCTCAACTCGCGGCTTGGTCATGGATTTCGGGCGGCTTTGATGATCGTAATATGGGTCTGAAAATACCCTCTGGTAAATTAACAGTTGGACCCTGAAAATGACATAAAATGACCAATTTTATAGTGGAAACTAGTCTTCCAAACCCTATCTGCCAGGGTCTATGTTAATTTACCAGAGGGTAAGTTTCAAAATCCAATGGGTTTATGATCAAATTCCTATTTTTTTTCCATTTAAGAGAACCATATTGGGGTGTACCATGGTATACCCCATTTTCAGACACACCCACATTTTGAGGTTGATTGATATCAGTGACTTGGAAACACCAAGCAAGTTGGTTCCATCAAGTCAGACTTCATTGTCAGTACAGGCGTTGCCAAAATCACTGGGGGAGCTTGTGATCACCAACTGGTTGCTAAAAGCCGAAAGGCCATGGGTTTTGGCTTAGACAATGCCAGCTACTGTACTGGGTAAAACTTGGTGAACTAGTTTAGTGCTAGCAATTTTGCTGGAGGAATAGTTTTATATCCAACTGTATCTCTGAAGATTGACATTGCGGACTTCCCAAAACGGTCTTGGGTCCAACAGTACAATGCCGTTTGCGCAGCCACACCAATGTGGAGGACTTTTTTTGCGGCACTCCAGCTATCAGTTTCAGTCATTGGGAAACCACTAAGAAAAGCAGATGTGCCTGTTGGATAAGTCCTTAATTTTCCATCAGAAAGCCATCCAAAAGTCATAAGTCGGTGCCTGGGAGTTCCAGGTTTTCCACGAGATTTGTTGCTTGAGATCAACACAAGACTTGACCCGTTTTCCATTTTTGTTGTCGGATACAAGCTCATTTTAGGACATTGTATATGTTTAAACAATATGCATATACTATAAGTATTGGAGTGCATATAGTTTCTAAGTTCTTTCTAAAACATCTTCATTTTTTTTTTGACTGTTACCCTCTGGTAATTTAACGTAGCTATGGGAAATCACCATTTCTAAGTAAATTGTCTACAAAGCATCTATAATATTAATATTCTACAAATAACATCATCTACAAATGGGACATTTTCCATAGCTATGTTAAAGAAACCCGAGGGTATATCACCTGCTTGTGTTTTTCTTATTATATATTATCATCGTTGTCATCATTATTGCTAATTATCATCACTATTTTTTGCTATGATCTATTATCTACTGAACATCCCTACTAATATTGCAACTATAGCTGTTGTCAGTATTGCCATTCACTGTTGTGATTTGTTACTATAATAGCGATGTCTAGTGACTGTAGTATTACATAGATTTACATCCATACTATTTTGGTAACTATAGTATCATTCACTACTGATATTTTGTAACATACTATTATTCACTATTCTAGTGATGTTTATGATAATGAGAATCGAGTGATCTTTAGTATTGCCATTACTACTCACTCCAAATCCATACCATTGCAATGAATGGGGAATCATATATCATGGTATACTGTCGGTATACTATCATATACTATAATATAAATCATATTATACGTCTAGTAAGTTACTATCATATATGATATACTATAAATACATGATAGGTCTGATAGGTACTATTATATCATATGATATACTATTATATACTATAAATACATACTAATAATATCAATTCCCATAGGTACCATGGATCACTATCAGTTCTCCAGGGGCGGTGTGACGGATCTGTCCGTGGATAGCGTGGCTTTGTGGCATCCGCGCTGTCAGGAGCTGCTGCATTGGTGGCGTGGCCCAAGATATCCCAAGATGGTTAACGCTTAACCATGGATACATACACAATGGTTAACGATGTAAACATTATTATAATATTGTACATATGTATACATGGTGTGTATATTTATCTATGTACACAATGGTGTATATGTACATTATATGTTACCATATATAATATATATATATACATAGATATTGTACACCATATACATATATATATATATTAAATCGGTGTATAATATCAGTGTATGATGGCTACGGGAAAAATGATGGGTCTATGATGGATTTATAATGAAGGGATATATGTATATATATATATATAATGCTTCTATAGTGATACTACAACATAGCCACAGAAAATGACCCAGTATTCCGTTTGTAGACGCTTTTCATGTTTTAAAACACGGCCATTTAACATTGCTATGCCAAATTACCAGAGGGAAAGAGCCATGCTGCCATGCTTCACAAGTCCCCAATAAGTGTCAGGTCATGACCTACAAAACCTGACACTTAGTATCACTTTGTATTACAATCTGTTAAAGTCGTACCCTTTGGTTATTTAACATAGCCATGGAAAATCACCATTTTTAATAGGTAAACCATCTATAAATGGGCCATTTTCCATGGCTATGTTAAATAACCAGATGGTATATTTAAAATCAACAAATATGGGGATAGAATCCACAAACACTGGGATTTACCGGAACCAATGATGATTAGTAAGCGGGTAGTTTTTGGGTGGTTATCGCCCACTGGAAATGAAGACTTCTGGACCAGGGTGATTTTTATCAGTTCCTCATTAGCCTATCCAAGTAGTGGCAGCAAGATTTGGAATGTCTACCAAAACATTCCATGTATTTGAACAACAAGAGTGTCACATAGTGTCACGGCAATTTTCCAAATGGATCCAAATTCAATTTTGAGCTGCATTCATGGCTTTTCAAACAACAAATAGCCAAATGTTCATGTGGGTTCACCAGTAAAGAAGGTGGTTTGATAATTGCCATTGAAATTCAGTTCAGAATCGAAGGAACCTCGTTCATCAATCACCTGAGTTGCTCTTTCAACAATTCATGTCCTCCAACAGGTCACCATTTGATGATTTATTTCAGTAGATCATTCTACATGGTTTTGACTCTCCAAGTTGGCAACCGAAAAAAAAAAACCATGCCTAGTTCTCACCTGGGCTGAGTTAGCGACTGATTACCTGATTACCTGCAAAACCAAGGATTTGAGGGTTAAATATATTCAACTACAGTACATTTGTCTCTTAATATTGAGTAACCCAATATTTGATGGTTGATCATGACTTTCCCATCCCTCAATTGTCACCTAGTGGAGCTGCACTGAGGTACAGGCAAGGTGGAGAGGCGTCCTCACAAAATGCGCGGAGACTGGGTTGCAAATCATCTCTGTGGACGATTCACTCCAAGCCACTGATAATTTGATGATCACCAAGCAGGACTTGAGAATAGGTTCTCAAGATTTCTCAAGTCCAAAGCGTTTGCAGGTCTTTGGAAAAGAAACATTCACAAACACCTGATCTTTGAAAAATGTGAGTTGGCGGAATTGCTTCTATCATCTGGCCATCTCTGGTCCCAGTCTGTTGGGAGTCGGTTGGGAGTCAATTGGGATTTCAGATTGCGAACTAATTGGGTTGTATGATGGTTAGTAGGGGCAACTATCCCCAAATGGCCGAACTATTCAGGTTGGTGAGTCATTACAGCTTATCCAGATATATGTGTGGGTGCCTGACAAAACAACCACCCTACCTAGCTGCTCAAAAAGTCGCTGGACTGAGGAGTTTGTCGTCCATGGGCGGGCAAACACCGCTGCAGAATATTCAGGAAATGAAAGACTCAGCCGTATCTCTGGAGATGCCTGGTGCTACTGATGGAGGGGCTCAACAAGGAGCCAACAAACGGCACCCAGTGCGTAGGTGTGTCTGAAAATGGGGGATAGCCCCAAGAAAGATGCCGTCTGATGAGGAAAATTATAGTTCACCAGTGGATTTGAGGTTACCCTATATATAATATTATATAATATGTACATATATATATAGCTATTTTCAGACAAAGCCTTAAATGTTGTAAGTCCAACCGCACATGGACGGTTCATTCTCTGAAGATTTGGAAGGATGCTTAATTAATCATAGAAGAAACTTGGCCCCAGCTGGTAGACTTGCCAACCATGGCTTGGAGCTACAGGTGGTCAAGATAGAAAGTTACTTCACAGACTATATGGCATGTACGAAGCGTTTATGTCGATTTATAGCTTATACTACCGGCCGGAGATCACTCTCACCACTTTCCTTCCGGTGATCTGTGCAGGATTTCACTTGGTGCCGGTCACCATCACGCACATCCCACATGACAAACGGCCCTTCTACATGGCATGTGTCGAGGAGGTGCCAGACGCCACTGGGCACCTGGTTTCTGGCATCGCAACAGATGTCTCAACATGTGTGGAATAGTCATGGGATCTGCATGGGAATCTTGGGATACTTATACTTACTAAGCACATTTGAACCAACCATGGGTCAAACATTTGAGGTCCCCCAACCAACAGATGGCTGGATCATTTTTAGGGCTGGTGAAACATTCACTTTTGTGTCGGTACCTAATTTTTGTCCCATGCCGCAATGCTCATGATGCCCGTACGGTATTGTTTCAATTTGTTGCATATTTGATTTGATATGGTACGTTGATATGCTTACTTGGTTTGCAAAATCCTCCAAGAAACATCCCAAATACATCCAACTATTTCATTTCAGAATCGGGTCTTCCGGGACTGCGGGACAGCGCTGACCAAAATGACCGACGGTTGGTTCTCAACTGCCTGCTGGTCATCCCACTTGAAATGATCACTCAACAACCTCAAAAAGATCAGTTTGAACTGCGTCTGTCGTTGAGATGGATATCGGGGTACAGCTATCAAATGTTACTTGTTACTTGACTTGATCCGACGTCTTGTGGATGACCTTGTTAAGGAGAAGAAGGGTACCCGCACCTGTAACAAGAAGATGGAGATCAACGGCGACGTTTGGCAGTGCGCTTTGGGGCATCAGCTTGCCCCATCGGCCCGTTGGATCTGTCAGTTTAGCGCCTGTGACCATACCGGGAGCTCCTACTTCAGCAGCTTTGATGAGGCGGAGAGTCCTGGGTTGCTCCCGGCAACGCTCCGTTGACGTAGGGATGATGCTAAACAACGTTTTTAAAGATGGTAAATGTTCAATCCTAGAGATGGATTACCTGGATTACTATGTTTTTTTTCTTTTAACCTGAGTTAACCTAGCAAATTGTGAACTATTACTAGAGAGTAGCATCCTTTGCTAAATTATTGTTGATTTGCCCAATGGACAGTTCAACATTTGGGAAAACTGAAGCAAATCCAAGTAGTTGCCAGCTAGGCTTGCTGGACTCAGTCATTTGGAAATAGCCCGGCGCAGCCATTTAAGAAAACACTGATGTAAAGTAAATATGTATCGTAAACTGTCAAAGATTGCATTATCTACATGATATAATATCATGATGTATATCATACTCTATCATTTCATAGTGTATTACATCACATTATGCATAAAGATGCATAAAGCATATACTACGGATAAGACACCAATGGCTTGTCCCCCCAGGGCTTCCCGCCGCTAGCGCTTCTTCGCCAGGTGGGCGTCAAGATGTTGGGCCACAAGGCCGACGAAGCCGCCAGGCGCTGGGATCGTCGCGAAGTCGATCAATCGATGGATGTGGAGATCGAGCATATCTTCAAACGAGGGAAACTCGCTTCGATTTCTGCGGAAATGTGTGACAAATCGCCAGAGTTGGGTCGTGGGATGGACTAAGGAAAGCAATGGGAAACCAATGGTATACCAAGTCTGACTTAAAGACCGAATATTGGCGGTGAAGTAGTGGTGAAATGGCTGTGAATATCCCAATGTGTGGTGATGTTGATGGAGAGATAGGGGCAAGATCAGCTGACTTACCCTCTGGTAAACTAACATAACTATGGAAAATCACCATATTTAATGGGAAAATCCACTATAAATGGTGATTTTCAATAGCTATGTTAGTCATTACCAGAGGGTATCTCTAGCATACTTACCGTAGACTATATACATTTAATACGTTTGGGTACTTCGCAGCTTGGGATTCACATGGGCGTTGACGAGATGACGCATGTTTCAGTGGTGTTTGATAAATGATCATTCAATAGGGTGAATATTCATTCAATTCGCCCGAGATCTTGTGAGTCAACCAACACATAGAATATCCATGTGCAATCATTTTCGTTGAACTCACTTAGGTATTTATTTATTTCAGGTTGGCAAATTAGGCTAATTTCTCCACATCCCATCCGGAAATATCCAGATCCCTGACATGACGAGCATCGGTGCTCGAGGCTCTTCAAGCGGTGCATGCTGAAGGTGAAATCCAAAAAGGAGATTTACAACGATGAGGACAGTAGGAAAGTGGTGCATTTAGCGGCTCAGACGTTGGGGTCTTCTCTCTCTCTCTCTCTACAGTACAGGATACGCCATGTAATACGGCAATGCATGTGTTATGTAATGTGATGTAATGTACTGAAACACTATATTAGACATATATATATATATTAATGCATGTTCTGCTTAGTTGACAAGATCCTCGCATCCCGGGCTAGCCATGTGTCGAATGTCCAGAATTGTACCACCGAAACCTTGATGGCGTGGCGGCTGGCTTTTAGGTGTGGCTTTTCCCACGCTTCTCCCAGGAAATGATCTATGTCAAAATGTACCTGAAGGTATCAAGGTACGACCCCATGGCTGTTGAGTACCCTCTGGTAATGACTAACATAGCTATTGAAAATCACCATTTTTCATGGGAAAATCCACTATAAATGGCCATTTTCCATTGCTATGTTAAATTACCAGAGGGTATTCCATTATTATGTTTGTCAATGATCCGTTTGCTATTATTGATTCATGCATGTTCATATCACATTTCCGATGGTTTCCAACCCACAATGTTCTTGTTCAGTATCCGCCCATGCTACTTACCCCAGTGGCTAGGGCACAAGGGCCCGGACAGTTCAACATGGGTCAACACCCTGGTAGCCTTTCGTTCACGGCAAGATATGGATGTTCCTCAAAAAAAATGTCCCATAGCTGCTATAGCTATTGACCCATCTCCATTTCGGAATTTAGGGCTTTGTGCTCAGGAGAAGTTGAAGTATTCCGCCCTGGATTTGTGGCCCATGGACTTTGTCAAAGACGCGCGGCAGAAGTTGCTGGACATGAAAACCTTCCTCGCAGATTAGCTGCCGCAGCTGCCAACTCAGCCGGCTACGGCTTTCTTGGCGCGGAGTGTGCCAAACGTCTCCCCAAGGATGGTGCAGTTGGTTTGAACTGTTGGCTGCTTTTTTGGACAGGGCAAAAACTGTGAAGGCGCTGAAGCAAAGTCTGAGAGGGCCAATGTTTTTTTTTTAATTGAGAATATTTTTAGTGAGATGAATTCGTGCAAGTTTTGTGAGCAGCTTTTAGTTTTTTTTGGGAGTTGCGACCAGCAACCCAGCTGGAAACTAATGTTGGATACCAGCCCGTTCGTTGCGCGCGAAGGGATTGCAACTGTGAGAATGTACTTGGCAACTGCGCACCTCAGCACCAAGGGATCCAAAAAAAGGATTGTTCTGGGTCAACCTTCGATGGGTAGTGTAGTACCGAACAATATTTTGCTGCAAATGGGTCATTATCGAACATTACCACTTGCCATAATTGCCAATTACCAGCAAATATGTAATATAAGGAACATATATCTCATGATATTTGCCTGTTGTAGAGGATTATGGTCACCAGTACCAGCATTTTTCGTCAATTTTCCATGAGTTGGAGCATGGCAGTTGGGTTTATGCCAAGTTATCTACCTCCAAAGCAATCATTTCATTCTAGATAATCACGTACTTCTATTTTTCATTCCCATTTGATAATAGTTGTATACTAGTCATATAATATATTGTATATACAATTGCTTACAATTATATATATATAATACAATGTTACAAAATACGTAACCATGAGATGTGTTATATGTGCGTGCATAATCTATATCTATTCTCCCTACATCCACCCCTTTTCGCATCTCGCAGCTGCAGTTTTCAAAACACCGAGGCCAGGATCTACCACAAGAAGACCGAACTGCCGGACGTGGCTCGGTGGAAACTTCCCGCCGTGGATATCCGTTGGATCCGGTTGGATGATGGAGGGATAGCCATATCTGGATGCATATCATTGGATATCCATATCAGCTTAAACAAACGGTTGTTTTTTTTTTGGACTATATGGGTTGACTCCTCATGATTTGCTGGTTGATTCATGAGTTTTATAGATTCAACATATTAATTTCTGTTGCTTCTGTTGTTGAATTACAGGTGCACCGCGTGGCATTTGTGCATGATCTTTCCATTTTAGGAGGCTGTTCCTAGAATGGGGCTAACCCCAATCCATTTCAATGGGATTTTCCATGAAATAAAGTGAATAAACCATCCAGCTATTGGGCAATCCCCCCATTCAAAGACCAGCCCCTGTTTTGTCCCGCCCAGGAGACAGAGTATCACGAGGTACTGAGACCCATCCTGCTGGAGGCCGGAGACACAGCATACTGAGCTTGGGAAAGGTGTCACTATGGTTTTACTGTTTTACCAAAAGGTGTCACTATGGTTTTTCCCTATGGTTTTTCCCTATGGTTTTTACTATTGTACGTTTATATACGTTTATTGCGTATGAAACACGAGGAAAAAACTGGAGATGACTTCGCCTTCGGAGAGGAGCGCATCTTAGAACATCTTTTTGGAGGCTTCACTTTATGTAATTCCCGGGGTATCATCCGAATCCACAAAGGAATGATGAACGTTGCAGCTTGGAGTGTCCACCAACCCGCTTTGTCGCAGATTGAAGACACACCCGGTTCAGAGCGGGGCTTTGACGATGACGATGATGGCAGTGGGTTTGGGGGCCAAGCAACATGTGTCTGGCTGAAAAGGGGCGTATTTGGGTTTGTCCGAAAAATACCCCAAGATCCCATCTTTGTTCATCTGTTTTGCAAGAAAACACTGGCCATTTGGTTTTGTTTTTTTTTTCACCCTCCGGCAATCAAGCATGGCAACTGAACATCCTGGATTCATAGATGATTTTCCCATCACTTTCCCATCTAGAAACCTCCATTGGTCGACTCATTGAGTTCGGGGATTTCACAGCTTGAAAAACGTTTGAAACGACAGCGGGCCGGGGGTGAACCCCATCCTGGCAGACACTCCCATTTCTGGAAAACTCATCAAAACTATAATATATAATCATGGTATACACATAATATGCATATTATATATTATATTATATTATGTTATATTATGTGTATATATTTATATTTATATATATATTATGTATCATATTGTATAATTATATCCCATGACTATGCCACGATATCCCCATCAACATCCCAGCTATTTCTTCCCTGATATCTGGTGTTTGCAGGCCTCCTGCTGCCGGCAAGACGGAAGCCGGTGCCCCAAGAGTCTGGAGCTCGGTGCCGCACCTGTGAAATACGTATGTTATCTTAACAGTAAATTGAATACATATTTTACAGTAATGTTAAAATTATAGTTATAATTCACACAAGTGCACTAGAATCTAGAAATCGTCGGACCAAGGATTTGGTTGCTTCAACTTGCATTTGTGCAGGATCTTTGACCTTGTTTTGGAGCCCTCACACCACAAGCCCTGGCGTCCGCACCGCGCAGATTATGAAGGGCTCGCGTGTGGTGGTGGTCAAAGAGAAACAGGAGGCAGGCTGATCTCAGCTGATTGCTGGGCGAAACCCAAGGGATAAATCATGATAAATCACATTTATATACATTTATTTTGAAGATTTTTTGAAGGTTAATTCAACGGTTTGAATTAGAAAGTATTTACTTACCACTGACCACATTTTCACCTACATCACATGTTATACAGGTTTATACTAGGATCACAACCCATCACAACCCCCAAATGGGTGATTTGGTTTCTGGCTAAAAACTTTTGCCAGATTAGACACCCTCTGGCAATCAAACACATTGACATGATTGGAGTCATGTTCTCTTTGAGATGTTCATATATACACTTACACAGTATACAGTATATATATATTATATAATATTATATACACATGATTCACATAATGGTAGTGCTTATGGGAGAGTAATCTATCAACCATCAAACATGATCACCTTGCCTCATCGCCGTTGTTCGGAGCGCAGTTGATGCAGCTCTTTGAGAAGTTTGGGCAGAACTCCAAGGGCGTGGTCTTCAAACGGGGCATGGAGAATATGCTGGGAAAGCGCGACTGGGGCGGTCTTGTCTGTGAGACTGGTCAGGGGAAACTAAAGCTGTAGAGTTGTAAAGTTGCTCGTTGAGTGCAGATGCACAGATAGGCACCTGAAATCCCCCCAGAGAAATCATGAAACGTATGGTCTGTTTCAGACCCAAGGGATTGATATTGATATTGTTTGCATTCCATGTTTCATTTCAAGACGGCCGCAGGGAGTTCAACGTGCGCTCCATGGGCAAAGATGGCAGCATCTACCTGCCTTCCCCGGATGGAAGCGAGGCCGGGCCAAAACTGCGGATCCCAAAATCGCAAAATTCATGCGGTCCCAACAAGTTGGGGATATAAGTGGAATCAAATTACAATTGAGATCAATTAGTTGGGTATACCGTGGTAAACCCAATTAAGATCAAGTTCATGAACATGATCACATCATATCACATCTTCAATTGGGAATATAAATCAATATAATGGATATAAATCAATATTTTTGCATGATACTGTAGTGATGTAGTGATGTAATCAATATGATAATACAATGCAAACATCAACGGGGCGATTGGACAATTGTGGCTCTCCCATGATCCCGGAAAAAGACAAACCAACAGTTACTGACCGAAATTTCCACAATGGAAAAGCAGATGAATACACACCAAAATGATACGACAAGAAAAGTATCTTTCAGATATCTTTCAGATATCTTTCAGATATCTTTCAGATATCTTTCAGATATCAAAAAAAGTACTTTCAGATATCTTTCAGATCATTCTAGCCATTTTGAAGATGTATCTGATGTATCATCATTTTCAAAATTGGGTGCCCAGTTTTGAAACATGACCTATATATGACGTGGGATCCCAGTAGTCTTTTCTTGTCTCACTGAGTGAAGCTGATCCGCAACTTTTGGACAAACACTAAGCGCATTTGGGGGTGTCCTCCCATTTTCAGACAAACCCAAAAGCGCATTGAACCTGACCCAATGAAAGTGTGTACTCCATGGATCATTTGGGTATCTTTTTCTGCGCTCACGAGTCCTCAATTCTGAAAACTAGCATTCTTTGTCCTCAAACAGATGCGTGGTTTCTAAAGTTGTGATATCTCCGGGTCCATTTGATAGTTTCTCCATCGTCACATAGTGCGCTGGGTCACGGGAGAGAGCAACGTAGAAATGGGGCTTTTTAGAACCTGGTTAGTCAGTCCCCGACTCGTGGGTTGATCCAACCTACGCCAGGGCGGGGTGTGGACCTTTCCTCCGGGTGCTGCGAAGTTGAAAGTGTCTCTCACGGTGCCAAGTTGATCCGTGGGGCATGGGGATTTGATGGATGGTGCTCCGTTGTGGGGGGATAAATGATGACAAGCTTATAAGCATTTACCCTCTGGTAAACTAACATAGCTATTGAAAATGGCCATTTCTAGTGGATTTTCCCATTAAAAATGGTGATTTTCCATTGCTATGTTAGTTTACCAGAGGGTATAAGCTTCATCCATGGTCCGATTCCTTGGAATTTCTGAGCCTTGACTGTGAACGAATAGGAGTTTTCAGCAGCAAATGTCGTTGGAGCATCCATGAGGATCAGGGTTTGGTTCAGCGGAAGTTCCATGGCAAAGATGGTCCCTGTATCCAGTTGCAGCGACGTAGATGAAGCTCTCCATTTATTATCCATTGTAGGCTGGGGATTTTCAATTGCCACGTTTGACACCGGAGGGTAAATGGGGAATCACATGTGTTGGATGACCTAGGGGAGAGCCCTAATTGTTTTTGAATACATCCTGATCGTATCATATTTTTTCACAAATGATTGATTTTTGACCCTATTTCTCTGCCATTGTTTGTAATATCCCCATGTTTTGCCAGTGATTATATATGTTGCCAATCTTGGCTTCATTGCCCTTGAAGTGTCTCAAACTCGTTTGGCAGGTGATACGGCAATTGTTCAGTGTTTTTTTTCTTTTTTTCCACAAAATTGCTAAACTTGTTCATTCTTTTTCAGTCACTTCTTGGGCATTGCCCGAGTTTTGCAAAAATGCTCCAATTTCTCGTCATTTGCAAAACATACCAAGGAGTTGCACCGTTGCACGACAGTTTTGCCATCTTTAGCATGGAATTGTTGGTCATCTCCAGCGACGTCGCCTCGCCAGCTTCCCATTGACGAGTTCCTGCACTTAGCAGAGAAGAAGGAGAAGGCGCTGGGAATTCCATGCGGCTGGGGTTGAGCCCTTCGCTGGTGCGACTCGCAATGAGTCGATGGTGGTTTGTTGAGTCGCTGGACGACTAATGTGGCTGGGAGATTTGACCAGTCGAGTGGGATGAAATTCTTGATACCCTCTGGTAAACTAACATAGCTATGGAAAATCACCATTTTTCATGGGAAAATCCACTATAAATGGTCATTTTCAATAGCTATGTTAAATTACCAGAGGGTAAACCATGATTCAAACAGCCTGTAGTTGTTGTGTGACTGAGATTTGTTTCCTAAAGCCATTGACATAAATTGAAGGTTTCAGATGGTCGAAGCAGCGAAAAAAGGGAGGACTAGTGCTACCTGAACTTGGGGATTCAAGGCAGCAGATAGGGGGTCAGGTATTGCCAAGACATATCATTAGAGATCATTACAGATGGTTTTTTTGGACCCAAGTCTAGTGGGGATAGAACCAGTCACTGGTCACCAAGCACACTGGTCACCGAATCTCGCAACCTTTGTCGGATTTTGCCAGGTCTACGCTCAAAAAGAGAAGAAAGAACACCTGGTGGCGCTCCAAAAACGTTGCCCTGGCTTTTTCTTGGAGAGTATCTGGTGGCACGAGGATTCAGAGATTCAGATTCAGCGATTCATTTCAAGTGCTGTGGAAACTGGCTATGGGAATCCTAAATTTGCATGACATTGCATGGCAAATCCTGAGAACATCCAATAATCAAGATCTCATTTGCCATCCCATGAGTGACCAGCTGTTTCTTGGAGCATGCGTTGCTTGCCAGCAAACCACAAACCACCATGTTCGCAAAACATCCACGTCCCATCTGTTTGATCCGGATGTGTCTGCACAGGTGGACTCACTTGTTCATGCATCCATACAGTTGGAAAATTTATTCGTTTCCAAAATAGCTATACCGTGCTACACCACAAAATCACCATTGTTTGGCCACCAATTTTGCCCCTCCCCAGCTCACCAAAGCCTCAGTTCCCCCTTCCTAGCGAACCAACCATGGCAGCTCTCTCCGGCTACGACCGTCCGGTGGGCGCGCCGGATGTGGACAAGACGCTGACGCGGAATCGCATGGCCGGGATCGCTGGGGGATCTATTCCGAGCTGGTGAAAAGATGAGAATTTCATGCACGGAAAGTGAGCCATGTGGAAATATCATGGTACATAGTTATGAGATATGAATTGATATGAATTGATATTACAGTAATTATGAGTTCATAATTATTGACATATCCAAAATAAAATACCATATAAGATATATAAATCAGTTCAGTCCCTGGGTTTAGGGCCAAGTTTTAGTCCCGGAGGATCTTCACATGGATTCTTGTTGGTGTTGAACGGTTTTAATGTGTAGGTTTTACCCGTAAAGATAGGAGAAATGGACCTCAAAGAAATGAGAATTTTGTCAGTAGATGTCCGTAGGCTATTAAGAATTTCAGAAAAATTGGGCGTTCAACCGTTCAACCGAAATTAGTTTTTTTTTTTTTTTTAAATACCAAACAATGGGCTTCAGCACCATGGGGAATGAAACCTATAAGTGCTTGATGGGATGGCCCTGGTTGACCCAGTGCCAGGGCTACTTCATTTGCTTCGACGTGTCAGATGAAAGTGAAGCCTCTTTGAAAGAGGCCCATCGCTGCCTCAGGGATATTGGCGAAGTCGAAGCCATGGGATGCCGCAATGGCGAAGTTTCATCATCTTTTACCATGTTTTATTGAAAAAGCCCCAAAATTTCAATCTCTTAGCATCCAAAAAGGAAAGTCATATAAACCCCATGTGTATCCATGTGTTGGAGCAAAACAATTTTCAATTTTGATGGAGTAATATGATGTCTGGTTGGTGGTTTGGAATATGTTTTATTTCTCCATATATTGGGAATAATCATCCCAACTGACTTTCATATTTTTCAGAGGGGTAGGGCTCAACCACCAACCAGATGTGATTACATTTCTACATATTTCTCGAAATCATATGGTAGAAACGATCATATCCATTGCACCCGTTGCTTTTTTTGGGTAGAGCTACCTGGCTACCGGAGTTCAGGCCATCGCAGTGCACAAGTTGCTGACGGAGAGTCTGCACAAGAACATGACCTGGAACCGAAGGGCTTTGTCGGTGGGATGGGGATGGGCTCAGTCTTTGGGTGCGGGAACCCCATGAGATTCAGAATGGTGCGTTTCCAGCGAAATGATGGGAAACACATCGAAAAATCATGAGATTCACATAAATCAACTGGAAAGAACACTGTCGGAACATCCAAATTGCAGGGTTTTTGCTTGGCGGGGGGGGGGAATTTTAACATAAATCCACTTTGATCTGCGTCAGGGTGTCTCCAGATTTGATATGAACCATGGATGAACCATGGCTGCCAGCTGCTAGCGATACTCTCAATCATCTTTTGGGTATGGGTCAAAACTTAAGTGCAAAGGAACCAACCAATGCACCAATGTTGATCAAGATTAGCATTGACGTTTCTGAAAATGGAGTATAGCCCTAAAATGGCAATATTATATGATGTAAATATAGTAAATATGATGATTCCCTATCATTTTTTAGGGCTGCCCTATTTTCAGACGAGCCAAGCCCGTGTCTTGACTCATTCCCAAACATGTTCGCTGCAACCCCTAGGTTTGCCCTGCGGCCAATCCCGCATATCTTTTGACATGCTCAAAATCCCTGCGCAGGGTTTAAGTTTTTTACTTTCCAAAACCCTAAAACCTAAAACCCTGAAACCTAAAGCCCTAAACCCTAAATCAAAAACCCTAAATCCTGAAAACTTAAAGTCAAAATCATAGCGTATAGCCAGTGTTTTCATTCATCCTCTGGTGATAAGTATATCATATTGTTTGGATGTGGTGTTTGAGTGTGGGCGAACCAGGGGGTTACGGGGAACATGTTTGAATGGAGAGTTATGTTTTTCCCGAGGGCTTCTTGACTTTTGTGGCTTTTGTTGCTTTTCTTTATTTTTTGCTGCATGGCTTTTGTGATTTGTGTTTTCTCAGCTTCTTAGCTTATTGATGCTTATTGAATAAACCCTTAACGCACCCTAAAGGAACCCTAAAGGAACCCTAAATAAAACCTAAACCAACCCTACATAAATCCCCTGGCAACTCTTAAAAAAGCTAGTACAACCTTTAAACCCGTCCAAAATAAAACCTAAAGTGTACCCCCAAGGAAACTTTGGGCGAGAATGCTGGCCCTGAGGGACTATTGTGTGCGCAACAAAAGAAAACCTGAAAGAAACAAAATAGCAACAAGAGCAGGTTTTATTTTTCAACATGTAGCAAATACTATGCATATTTGCAAATGAATGTACCAAACTTCTACAAATACCATGGAAAGAAGGGATTTCTTTTGAAACATGATGCAGATATCAGATATGCAAATAACATTGTGCAAGTGCTGGCTTCAAGACTACGCATTTTCTGCCAAAAAGCTGGACATACGGTGCACATAGTAAATCTTAGCTCCGGAAGGCAGCAAAATGACATTTTTTAGCTCCAAAACGGAGCAAAGGACAGAGGAACGAAAAAACAACTGCTTCCTTTTTCAATGGCAGCAAAATAACAGATTTTAATGGGTGTGCTCCTCAAGTCAAGGTTCGTTTGTTTGGTTATTTGGCTTGTTTAAATGAATGCTAATATCCCACATATCCTTTGATGGATGCCAATTTCCTGTGGAACACCTGATGGGTCTTTGCCTAAAAGATTCTTGATTGCCTGCTACCCTCTTGTTTTGTTGCTTTATATACCTACTCCTTACCCAAATGACCATGTTTGGTGAGTTTGTACAAACTTGATATGTTTTTTTATTGGTTATTTCTATTGATCCCCATTTACCTCGTGATTACATACCATCTTTGTCATGGCTTCTCATGTTGATCCGCGGGTTTGACACAGCCGAAATGCCCAGCCTTACATCTACCTGGTGGGCTGCAAGTCTGACAAGGGCAATTCGGGGGACGATGTCAGGCGCGGACATGATGATCCAGGTGCGTACCACAAAGAATGATGATCCATACTTCAGGGTGGTACAGTAGTACTCCTTTCCTATTTAGAAATCCCCTGGTGATCCATGATTTACAAACATAATTTTCAGGGGCGTTGAAACCATCAAGCAGTAATCTGCAGTACCCAGCGGCTGGTTGAAAGCTCAGCTTTTGAAGATTGAAACCCTTTGCACATGGTCGTCGATTTTGCAATGCTATGTGGGATAAGTAAAAGGTAGGGTAGGGCATAGTATCATGTAATCATATCATCAGAGGTTACGCCTCGCGGAAATGGCATTTTTGGATGACTTTTACATGCTTTTACATTTTTTTGAATATATTAGAACATGTGACACTCATGAGAAAGGTGGAGAAAAGCAATTCATTTCTGGAGGTCGAGACAGCAGTTGAAATGGTTTGCCCATGAATAGCCATGATAGAGAATGCTGTTTGTCTCGATCGTGCCACATTAGCCCAGAGGGAGCTATCTGTCGTTTTGATGGAGCTATCTGTCGTAATTTGATGGAGCTATTGTACTCAGAGAAAGTCACTCCACCACTCCTGATCAGGAGCAACAAAATGTTGATGTTTTAAGCTGGCTGCCCGGTTGTAGCGAAAGTGTAGATGGACGAACACAAGTAAAGTAAAGGACTTACCGACCATGAATCTCTTGTGCTTAGTCTCTGATGTAGGTACACAGGAATCCCAAAATCACCAGCAGAAGTATAGAAAGGGTCCTGATTGGTGGTTTTATTATGTTTTATTCTAGTTCATGTTTCATTTTCCACCTTTATTTGGCTTGATGAACCCCAATTCGCCAACTTAATTGCTGGTTTCTATAGGTTATATAAAAACTGTTTCGTTCCACGAAACATTGGAATCTGGGTAAATTATAACGACCTCACTGCGACCTCACTACAATCATATTTAGTAAGGGGAATCATCCCAAAATGGCCGTGAAATATTATAATTTACCCAGATTGGAATGCTTATTCCAAGGTGCCACATGGTGCCCAAACCGATGAAACTTCCGACGGGATGAAGATCCATCAGCTTGGCGTGAACATCCGACAGCCAACATAAACCCTGCCAAATAAGGGGTTTGAAGACTACTTTCATCTAAGAAAACAATAATTCTCAGGGTCTTACTGTAATTGGGGATGGTGGTTCACCGATTTTGCTGCTCAAATCATGTTCAATCCCAATTTTTCTTGGTTCAATTCCAAGTTCCATTTGTTTGTTGATTCATCCCCATTTTTTGTTGACACAAAGGTGCTGATTCATCCCAATTTATCCCGGATTCAGGCGGAACATCAAGAAAGCAGAAGCCAGGGCCTCGACGGCCTCGACGGCCTCGATCCCGATGCACGTAGCTGCCGTAGCTTATGATGTATTTCTGAATATAGATGTGCATATAACTATATAACGTTAATATACACAGAACACATAATATTGATTAATATGTATTTATATGTCTTTATAAACATACATATATTTGTAGAACACACTACCAGTAATATATGTTTTGTGTGTTATTGCTATGCTCAATGCAAATTGAAGGATTTTCGTGGTAGCCCCGCATCTTAAGCCTGCCGCACTTAGCAACTGAGGTTCCACTGTAAACGATGCTTAACGCAGGGAATCATCCCGGAAAGAAATGTCATGGAATGATTTACCATGTAAACTATATATATATGATTTTCTGGTAAACAATGTTTTATGATGGAATGATCTGACATTACGAAAAACTATACACCAATTTCGATGATTCACCTTTTATCAATGCAAAAACAAGTATTTCTGATTTGAGAATTGTGGTAATTTGCCCATGCTTGATGTCAAGAGCCAAAAGGTCTCAGGTGCTAAAAGATTACCATTGCATCTGGATAATGGAGTATATCCCCATTATATATAATATATATATATATATATCTATATATATCCTCATTCAACCTCAATTCTTGTTGCTTTCATCCTCGTTAACTGGGTGAATCACCATAGAATCACCTTTTTTCAATATCCCATTCAGTCCCCAGTTTGCCTGGTTAAATCACCTACTTCAGGACCTATGCATCCCCATGTTTTCTGGTTAAATCCCCATTATATTCTTGTGGTTACCCCAACCGAAGAATGCGTCGCCACTGTGACACCCGACCGCGACGAGTTCTTTGCGAATGACAATGACCTGATTTGCCGCATCACGTTGGGAACTTAGGAGAGCTTAGGGAGAGGATCAGTTTCGGGAAATTGATGGCCTGGATGAGTTTGATGGCTTGGATGAGCTGCGTTTGATGAAGATGAGGATGATTATCATTTCATAATTGCTTATTATGCTATATCATTATTTTTTTATGAATGTCAGGAGTTAGGCCAATACCGGGTACATAAGTTCCTGTCTTTTGAATAATTAGTATGGTTAGGAAGCTGTGCACTGCAGTTTTTTGTTTATGCAGTCTTTTGTGTTTGCTAGTTTGTTGTATTGTGCATGAACCATGTGCATACGACTTTATACAACAGTAAATGCATATAACACACACGCATATATATATATATACATGTATAGAATGTAATCTAACATACAATCATAACATCTATATCTATATCTATATACATATCATAATATATATATATATACATATTATATCATACATATCATAACTTTGATTCTGCCCAGTTGCGGCTGCCAGGTCCGCCAGACAACAGCAAGGCGTTTCGGAAGTTTTTGGAGAGATGATCCAAGCCATCAGGCCCATCCCAGCAACCAGAAGGCAACCCATCCAGCAACCCTACGTAAAACGCACCAGTAAGTTAAGTATGTTTAAACCAATTTAAAGGTGTAGAGTGCAGGTTTAGATGAAGATTTCTGGTGATTTGGGGATGGTTTTTTGCGGGATGGTGATGGTTAAGTAAGAAAACTGGGGGTTGAGTTGAAGCAAGCAAAATGAGTGGCTGAGCCAACACATATTGGTGCTTAAATCAGTAAACATGAACGTTTCGAACGGAGAATAGATGATCGTAGTGGTTGGAACCGATCAAACGTGATGCTTGGCCAACACACCAAATTTTCCCCAAATTTGTCAGGGTTGCTCCCACATTTTCCCACCTATTACAGGCAAATGATTGCCAGAAGGAGTGGACATTTGTGGTTTTAGCGCTTTATTCACCATTTCCTTCCCTCCTCCTATCTGGGGTATTGGGAACAGCCCTGTTTGCTGGTCGCCATTCTATATATATATAAAAATCATGTTGGTTGGGGAAACATATGGTAAACATGTTAAATTACGTCCTATATTGTACTGTATGGGTATATAAAAATTGTTAAACACATCTTATTTGTCCAATTTTCTCCCGCATGTGGGGAGTCCGCCGCAGTTCACGGTCCAATTTGTGGACCTTGGATGGCGAAATTGATGAGAACGAGGAAGATGAAGACGCCGGAGCAACTTGGACGAATTTGAAGCAGACACAACGGCTGAAGGTTTTTTCGAAACCAGTTTTTTTAGCTACAAAAAACCGGTAGAAGAAAATGGAAGAGACATGAATTGACCAGCAATAGGGATAATACGGGAAAATCGGTCAGCCATGTGATGGCAGTTGGGATCAAGGGTCATGAAAGTATACTGCATACGTTTCATTGCAACTGAGGCTATTTAATTTGATGACCTCAAACAAGCCCCATTAATTTGACATTAATGATGATTGCTAAGTTCTTGCATGTTCTTGCTATCAGAGAAACAAGAATAATTAAAGCTAGATTGAGGTTTGATGAGGCTAATTCTGTTTGCTATTTTCAATCACTTTTGATTCAATATTGTGAAATAACATACTACGAATTGTCAAGACTGTCGTGACTCCAGTGAGTTCCGTTTGCTCTGTTGAGGGATCCATGACCTTTCTGGTCCGTGTTTTTGTGGTAACACTGTTGTAGGAATGTAACGCAGATGGTAGAACCGACACCAATAGGATAGAAGTGTTTCCAAAAACGCGGGGATCCCCAAACTCACGATGGCTGGAAATCCTTCAGTTTGATCGTTATGAAAGTGGGATACTGAACATGTCTGAACCTAGTGAATCCACCAAAACGGCCATTTAATAGGGAGCTATGATGATCAGTCCGACATATTATTGGAATATATTGGAATGCATCATATTAACCATATGAAACATATTCCAAAATAATTAACCAAGATGTTTTTTTTAGTTCCTAGCTTCATTCGGAATACCTCATGAGATTTCAGAACTTCAGAATACCAGCCATTTGGTGATCAGGGCCATGTCACGATTTTTTAGGAGCCAAGTGGGGATTCCTGATCCAGGCTCAACATGTTCATGATCCCACGAACTAATGATTTCAAGATGAATAGCATGACTGGCATTTGGTTTATAAGCTCTTAACTGGAAACAACTAGTTGGTGGAGAAAATATGTAGTGAATAAACTATGATACACAGTAACCCTTCATAAAATATTGCAGCGCTGGTTGATTCTCAAGGACCCTCCAAGTTGTTTCCCCGCAATCCATCCTCGGCCCTAAGGGCTGCTTTCATCAGTGACCGCGAGACCAAAGCACTGAGCAATGTCTCAGCACGTCTCCGCCTAGAGGCCTCGGCCGCCTCGGCCGCCTCGGCCCGCGTTCTAGGGACACGGCAGTTGATCTGGTGTTCAGTTATCAAGGCAGGTATGCATTTTGTTGTACATAATTGTACATCAGTGTGTTTTTCAGGGTGTATAGACATACCATATAGATGGATGGTTTGGAAACTTGATCGCCACCAGGCGTTGCCCTCCAAAATCATCACACAGCACTGCCAATGAGCAATGTCTCATCCCGGCAAAAAAACTCTCGCGGCATGGGGGGATGGGAGCTTCACATAGTTTCGCACGATTCACAAAAGGATTCACTCGCCACTCGCCACAGCACCATATGCGGCGTGAAACATCGTGAAACTGTGGCGTCCGTCGGGGGTCGCAACTTGGAGCGCCACGGAAAAGGAGAAGGGCATGGCTCAGGTATTTCCCAAGATTTCGAGATATTTCTCCTATACAATGAGCAGAAAGTCAGGAAAACACATGTTGCGCATGGAACATGTCACAACGTGTGTTTAGGTATTTTGTTGGTAATTACTAAAGTTTCAAGTTCAATGCTGTATGAATTGCGTTGGTAGTCCGCGACTGATGCTTCGACGATGCGCAGCGCGTTTCTGAAAGAAAGGCATGATGGACATTGCAGAAAGATGTGTGACAATGAAAAAGACGGTAAAGATTGTGAAGATGGACGGATGCACGATTATAAGAATGGACAATCAGAATATGATTGGAAGGAAGGAAGTCAAAGATGCAAGAGACTTTTGCTGAAGGCGAAGGGGAGAACAACAAGTATGAAGTCAGGTTGGTGCAGCAAGGACACTGATAGCAACAAATGATGTTGATTATAGCACGCGCGATCCGTCCGTAACAGCGTCCCAACGTAGTATAGAGAGCGCTAGGTCATAAAACTATGCAAGTCATGGTGTATACTGTACAAAGACAACACTAATAACCATCCCAATGGCGGTTCATTATTGAACACACCACCTTGCACCTATTCTGCAAGATGACCCCACAAAAAAGGGCTTCGGAAGTTCATCCGTCGCAGGGCATCGCCCGATGGTTATGATCCAATGATATCCAATGGATTTGGGGGTACACTATTTTCAGACAAACGCATACGGCATACATTTCAACGTGTGGATGGTTGGGGGTTGAATCATCGAGGTCAACTGACTGCCGACTGCCGACTGCACAAACGCTGCATGGGCGCCAGACACGCGCATGTCTCATGTCTCGTGTTTTTCGGTCTCACTTGGCGCAAAATATCGGTTAAACACGTGCGATATACGCGAAACAAACACATCAGCACCTTCAATATCTTTATGCGCGTGAAACATCGACGACTGGCAATGGGCGAAAGTTGCACAATTTTCGTAGGATTTTCACCTATGGCCTGTTTCAGCTGAAGATCTGCAAACATCTCCAGAGGCCCGGCGGTATCAACTTGTCACTCACAAAGTCTGACCTGAAAAAAACAGGGTATGCCGGGTATGCATACACTTGGCCAATGACAAGAATGTTTGCGATATGTCTTAGGCGTTGTATTATGTTGTAACCAAAAGGATCAAACCATGAAAACACATTGGGGCTCTCCAGATGAACTGATTACCTCCTCTGCAATCCATTGCCAGCACAATGCATAGCTTTCATTTTAAACTACTTTAAAATCTTCAAACGTGCTCCTTGTGTGAAAATGTCCCATGATATACTTTTATGTCAGCGTCTCCTCCTCCTCCTCGTTCTCCCCATTCTCAGGTTGTTCATTCTTCTCACTCTCCTTGTGCTCATTTTCCTACTAGTTCTTTTCATTGTGGTTCTTCATATTCTATTCAATTCCCTGCCTTGATTTTCCGAATTTGCCTTTGTAAATCTGCTAGGCAGTCTGATTCTGAAGATATATGTTTTTTTATTGAGTTTATTGTTTTCCTTTCTTTCCCGATAAAGTTTTAAACATGTTCAAACTTTGTTCAAACATGTTTTCCTTTTTCCATCCGAACAAGGGCGATAAAAACAGAACCATATGTCTTAAAATTTGAATCGCTATCCAGATCTCGATCAATGGTCAAAAGGGTAGGATCGTAAACACTTCAGCCCCTCCAAAAACCTTGTTTGATTTTACGACTTGGGATCAAATTTCAGAACCCGATATGAAGCCACGAATCCCCGGGTGCACACTGACGCTGAGAGTAAATTCAGACGCCATTCTATTCTTAGCCGTCCGTGGGGTTACATACTGTTTTTGCGCATGTGACTTGGATGAAAACATGCGAAATTGCACGCAACATCACAAAACGGGATCGATCTAGACCGGACCTGCAAAAATGTCAAGTCTCTTGCGCATGCCAAACAGAAACAATATGTTCCAAAGGCGCTGCAGAAAAAATACATCTTAAGATGAAGGCACAGTGCTGTCCCCATTTTTGGCCAGCGTGCGCAGTCACAGCGAACATGGAAATCTCAGAGGAAACTTTCCCTCGAGACTGTCCGCTCGAACCCCCGCGCCCACCTGCGAACCGTCAATCAAGCCGCGTCAACCCGCACGGCAAGAACACCTTACGTGGACACATGTGGACACACTGATTGGCGAAAGAGAATCAGACAATATCAGACATACAAATGTCTAGAACCAAGTGTTTGCTCAAGCATGTTCAGGACATGGTGGCGATTGATATTTCAAAGATGAGACCTTCAATGTTGGATTGCGAGAGTGTCAACGGATTCTTGAATGTGACTGCGCTTGGAGTTATGCTGCTTTTCTTGGAGATAACATATTTTAGTACGAAAAGGCGTTTTTTTGGAACTAAATTATAAACCTGTTAGAATATCTTAGACTTAGAACTTTCACGATTTGTCATCAGCTGCTCGCAGAGCAGGTAAGATATTCCAAACATTTATTTATATCAGGTAAATCGCACCAAGTCAAGTCCCACACACATACACACATATATAAATATACATGATACAATCATATATATATATAATTATATATATATATATGGCTATCACCATCTATGTAAGGGATATGTATTGGAATGGACTATAGGTCAAAACCTGCAAAATGAAGGCGACCTTTTAAAACGAAGGCAAACCTTACAACTAGAGTTTGTTGATAGATTTCCATTTGAGCAGCGAACGTCAAGAATTGTGTATCATGGAGTTATGGTTTGGTATGGTTTGGTCTTTGCTAGTTTTCCCTTGTCTTCCTTTCGTTTCCTTTCTTGCTTTCATGTTTCCTGTGACGGTTTCTGTTGGATTCCTTTCCGCCTTCGTTTCTTTCTGTTGATCTCGTTTTTTCTTTTCCTATCCTGGTTTTTCTCCTGCTGCATTTGCATTTTGTCAAGTTTCTGCTTTTCCTCCTGTGGTTTCTTTCCGCCTGCAAATTGTATTCTTCATGTTTTTTTTCATTTTCATCCGGTGGTTTCGTTTTTCCGTCTGGTTTTGCGTGTTGGAACGAAGCCAAAACGAAGACACAAACGAAGGCAAAATTGACGACAAACAACTTGGCATGGACTTGCCCAGGAGCTGGCAGACCTTCACCCCCATCCTGCTACCATTGCGGCTGCGTAGTTATGGTTTTGCTGCAGGCATTTGTCTTACCACCACCAGCAAAGCACCAACACCACCACCGCGATGACTACTGCTAGCCCCATTACTACCATTGCTTTGCCTCTGCTTTTGCCAGCGTTTTTGCCACTGCCACTGCTGCTGCTGGATGTGCTGCTGGGTGTGCTGCTGGTGCTGCTGCTGGATGTGCTGGTGGCTGTCACTGCTGCCGCTGCTGTCTGGCACTGCTACTGCTACTGCTATTGCTGCTGTTTCTGCTACTGTCACTGCTAATTCTACTGCTTCTGCCACTGCCGCTGCTACTGTTCCTGCTGCTTGCGCTGCGACCGTTGCTTCTTGTAGCACCTTTGTTGCTTCTACGAATCAGAATGCTAATCCTGCCACATGTTGGCGCAGTTTTTTTACAATTTTTGCCATTGCTGCCTCTAGCTCGACATGATGACTGCGCGATATCGCACGTATATTTGCCAAACTTTTTGTAAAACGAAGGCGGCTTTTTGTAACGAAGGAAAAAAAATATTCCATTCAGGGGCAGTAGGATTTTGGAGGTATATATATACATATAGAATAGGGTGGTTCCACAATTTTCGTATTCACCCTTGAGGTTTTGACACATGCAAATGTAGCCTGGGTCGCCACAGTTACACGTTTTTAAAAACTAATTTACGATTTTTACATCGCTTTGCCATAATGGCGATGTATGGCTATGAATTTATGAATTTATGCTTCTGGCCCAGAAAGATATCACGTTTGTCAAGGTGATGTGTTGCTGATTTGTGAACCAAAAGAACATGCAATGAAGGCTGTGCTGGAAACATACGTTTTTGTCTTAAATTCCAGGGTCCCAACATGTCCCAACAAGTTGCACATGTCGCATATACAGCAGAAGGGGTTGCAGCAATTGTTCAACAACATGTCACTTTGGCAATGGAGCATTTGTTTCCACCACTCCCTGAAAATGATGCCACTGTTTTTCAAAGTCATGGCGCTGTCGAAACACAGTGATGCTTGCAGTTTTGTCTAGTTTCAGCCTGTGCGTTTGTTTGTGAAATATCACGACGTATCAACCCTTCATTTCTTCCGAATTGAAATTCTGTCGGTTTGAAACAGTGTCAAACTACATGTAATTTTTGAAGGGCAACTAGGGTTTCAAGCGTTTTTACGTACCAGAAAGTGTCCGATTCATCAAATAGTGGGTCCTTTCACCAACATTTGCCATACCATGTCGGATTGGACGTGTCCACCTAGCATGCCGACGATGCTGTCATCATTGGAGAACATTTGATGTGCACTAAGAACTACCTCCAGCTTTGAGCGCCGCAAAAAGCAAACTTAGATTGAAAATTGAAATCTTTGGTGGTGAAACCACCTTTCCGTCCATTTACTGTACCCATTGCCT